CAAAGTAACAGTTATTCTAATCAGAATAAAAAGGTAAAAAGTTTACTGTATTAATATATATCTGGCTTCCGTATATCTCCAACTGTTTGTGGAATTAATAAATTTTATTTTTATTATTTAAATAAATTTGTCAGTCACAAATGTATATACATATTGTTTTAATTTTTTTGATGTAATAAAAATTTCAAACTTTGAGTAAATAAAGACTGACTCCATCTGTTTGTATATATAGTTAAAATTTAGGTTTTGTAAGTACAAGAGAATGATCTCTCTCTCTCTCTCTCTCTCTCTATATATATATATATATATTGTGATCTAAAAAATAAATATTAGTGTTATAACGATTGTTGACAAAAAAAATTTTTTTATAAAATTTCTATAATATACACACATAGGTGTCATCAATATATGTATGTACATTTAATATAGCCAATTAGATGGAAATGTTAATTAGAATTTGTTTGAAATTCCTGGTTTTCAAATTGGTATTATTTTCAAATTTAATTCCAATTCCCAACTAAACAATTTTTATTAATTTTTTTGTTTATTTGTAATGTCTGTATTTTTCAATATTATTATTATTATTATTATTATTTTTGGATGACGTGGGAACCCGCAGCCGCTATCCGAAAATGCGCACTGGGTAAACCTCCAGCCGAACCTAATACCCTGCAAACCAGGCCCGACGAAAAAGTCACACTAGGCGAACTATGTGTAGCAGGTGACTGACGGGTAGGAGAAAAAAGAATTGTTCACCAGCTCCAGCAACCACTTCGGGGTAAAAGTTATTTATTTATTTGGCTGATGCAACAATTGAAATATGAAGTTTTATAAGATAAAATATTATAATTTCATAGAGAATTATATTGCAAAAATTTCATAGTAAAAAATAGAAAAAAAAAAAAAAATTGTTTTGGTTGCATTTTGGTAGTTTGGTGCGTTTTGAGAGTAGTAAGATTTTAAATTATGTTTGATTTAATTTTTTATATGCTAAATAATATTTAGTAATATATTGTCAAGAGAAAAAAATAAAAACAGAAGAAGAAATTTATTGTAATTTAATAGTAATAACAAATATTTGGAAATACTACCAAACAAACTGAAAATAAAAGGTAACATAAGGTAGATAATTATAATGTAACATAAAAGCGCTACTTAAAAAGTTAGAAAACGTATTTGAGTGAATGAATGCGACATTGAATGATCGTACAGGGAATCGTTAGGACAGTGACCCCACGGGGAATTACCGTACCACTCCCTGTAAATGGCATTGCTCTAATAATATGAGTAGCTTATGCTAGCTTTTATGTAAGAAATTCTTTGGGGTTTTTTTTTTTTTTTTTTTTTTTTTTTTTTAATAAAAAAAAATTGCTTATAACTTCTATGTGATTTGTAAAATCTTTCTATATTTTAAAAATTGTATGGTACCCTTTATATTTTAAAAAATATTGCATGAAACCCTACCACCATGAAACTTTCCTCGTGTGATAAGAAGATGATTTTTTATCTATATATTTTGCATGGCAGAGGGGTTTTATGCAATATTTTTTAAAGTATAAGGGAACGTCATACAATTTTTTAAAGTAAAATGGGGATTTATGCTGAGTTTCGAAACCACAAAGTGGTTTCATGCAACATTTTTTAAAGTATAAGAAGATGTCATGCAATTTTTAAAGTAAAAGGAAAATTTAAGTTGAGTTTCGAAATCACAAGAGAGTTATTTTTGCTTTTTTTTTAACAAAAATAACATACACAATTTTTCAAAAAAAATTATTCTCTTCGTTCATTAAAAGTTAAAACTAATCTATTTGGGCCTGACACGAAAATTAAAAAAATGAATATTTTATTGAAAAAGTGATAGGTACTCGATGGTATTTTTAAAAATTTAGTTAGAAATTAAACTAAATGAAGAAAGAATGTAATAAAGTTAATAATATTTGTTGTAAATAAGTGTTTAATGAAGGATAATAATTAAATATTGATTTGTTACTTTCGATAAAATTAGTAATGAGATAAATTTAATGGACGGACTAAAAAGAAAAGTGAGAATCAATTTGACGGACGGAGATAGTAATATATTACACACATTTATTATTTTTATATTATCTACATAATTTTCTATACGTCATATAAAAAATATTCTTTCATACCAATTCACAAAACAAACACACCTTTTGTCTTTGCGTTTCAATCATACTCACATCCTACACAAATTATATTGTCCTAGCCTAGCTACATAGCATTATAAAATCTTTCATTTATTTTAATTTTTTCTTTTTATGTTTTTCTTATAAAAAAATTAATTTGTTCAAATGAATGAAGTTGTTTTGTAGTTCTAATGGGATAGTTTGATGGAAGAGAACAATAATAAGCTACGGTTAACTTGATCATAAGGAGTTTGCTGATAACTTAGTGTTTTTAAGTGCTACGATTCTCTATAAATATTAATAAAAAAATAATTTATATACATTAATTAATACAATATATATATATATTATTCACTTACAAAAAAAATCAATAATTCAATACAAAATATTTATATTATCAATATATTTTTTCATACATAACATAAAAATATATTCATTTAAAAATATAAAGTAAGCAAATCTAAATTCGGTTGTTTGCAACGAATTATTGTATCTATTTTTTTATTCATCTTTCATAAAAATATTCGACAATTCAATATATTTACAACAATGTCAGCCAATAAACTCTTAAAAGCAAACGCAAGTAATAAAGGTATTTTTGTACATTAAATATTATTTACTTTTAATTAAACTTAATGCAAAGAACAAATGCATATATAACAAAATAAAAGAGGAAGTAATATTTTTTTTACTTAAATTACAAATATATTATTACAAATATAATTACTTTATACATAAAGTCAAAGTTAAATTCAAAGAACAAAAATATTAAATTTTTTTACACACTTTCACTAACTAATAAAATATTATTATTTGTTAATTTACTACAAAAATCCTAAGAAACAAATACTTGAGGGAGTATATATTACATTTTAATAATTATCTCTAAATGCTAATCTAATTTTCTAGTCAAATGATTGTAAAACTAATGGAATTAATTGTGTACTAGTTTAGACAATCAACAAAATATCCCTTACTTAAATGATTTCATTTCCTCTTATCCAATGATTGAACTAATAAATTAATAAATCTAATTAATTTATTTTCCATCAATTAAAAAAAAAAAAAAATCCTTCCAATTTCTTTCCTTATGAATTTGAACAACCCCAAAACACACACCACCACACATATGTATGTACATCATGGTGGTGCTCACTTTCGAGAGGTTCAGGGTAAAACAAAAACAGAAGTTCCTAAATATATATATGTATATTTTTTTATTTATAATAAAATATAAATAAAATAATTTTTAAACATTTTTAAATACAAATTAATTTTAAAATTTTTATGACACTATAAGATTAAAACTCTGACAACCATTACAAAATAGTATCACACCACCACCAAGCTACATCTGAGGTAATGGGTTCAAACCCTGACGCTTTCAGGTCTTATCTGTTAAACATGATACATCTAAGTATGATTTGCTTTATCGAATCTACTTTGCAAACTGTTAAGTTCGGTCGAGGATTTACTTAAAGCGGACACGAATGGTAGCAGCTGCGATTCCTACATTATAAAAAATAATAATAATAATAATACTAATAATAAATATATAACACTACTAGGAAAAAGGCTGACAATTGCGAAATTTGTCGCAAATTTTAATATGTGATAATTAAAAGTTACAGAAAGTAATTTCGTAACAAATTTATGTCACAACTTTTTATTTTAACTATTCCGTAAGTAGTATTTGCAGAAAAAGCTATAAACAACTTTCCGTGACTATTTAAAGTAACGACTTATGCAACAAAAATATTCAAGATATTTCTATTTCGTGTCTTTTAACTATTTCGTCACAAAAATTGTTACAAAAATTTTTCTTGACTATTTTAAGTTGCGGAAAAAATAACCAAAATATTTCCAACATTTTAAATTATTACAGATATTGTCATAGTATAATTTTCGTGACTTTTTAAAATCAAATGTCACAACATAAGTAACGAAAACAACTATAAAATTTTTCTTATTTTCGTGACTTTAGAGTAGATAGATTAAAATAAAAAATAACTATAAGGTAATTGGTTGAAAAATAGTGTGGTATTATTTTGTAATTTATTGTTACGAAAATGTAATTTTGTTGCAGCTTCTGTTGCTATATAAAGTCACGGAAATGTCATAGTATTATTCTATAACTTATTATCACAGAAATGTCACCACTTAAAAAAAAAAATCACCAGCAAAATTCCACAGAAATGGTTCCGTATATTTTTCCGTGACTTTTTAGTAAAAAGTCATCAATTTGTATTAAAACTGCGATTTTTTTTTTTACCGCAATTATAACCTAATATTTTGGTAGTGTAAAATAAATTATATATATAATACATATATGTATAATATAAATATATAACGGCCCTCAATTTATATTGGGTCATAGGCAGGCGCCCCCATTTGTCCGGCCCGAAACATATATATATATATATATATGTAAATTGAAAACCCTAAAGTTATAAATTTGATGACCTCAACAACCAAAATGAATGAAACACACATGGATGAGACAACAGTATTTAATTTAACAAAATAAAATAAAATGGACAAAATTTCAAACATAAAAAGGATCCCATTGGATATAATAAATAATCCAAGTTTCCAAAAACAAGTTGTTAGTTGTCACCCTTTCATGGCTAAATCACATTCTCACCAAAGCATACACACATCACACCATTATTTCTTCCTTCATTAAATATACATACATACAATACCTATATCTTATATATATATATATATTACATATCAATCAAAACCTTATTATATATAATACCCTCACCATATCATATACCCCATCCTATCATCATCTCTTACACTACCCATAAGTACCCACCCCACCCCACCCCACCCCCCTTAGCCAAAATGGGGAGGTCACCGTGTTGCGATAAGGTCGGGGTGAAGAAGGGGCCGTGGACGCCGGAGGAGGACCAGAAGCTCTTGGCGTATATCCAAGAGCACGGCCATGGAAGCTGGCGAGCCCTCCCTCCGAAAGCCGGTATATAGAAACATTCAAATATCTAAATATATATATGTAATGAAAATGAAGGGAAATTTTTCAATATAAACCACGCATGCATGCAACCTCGTACGTATTGTGATTTGAGGAAGAAATGGAGCAAACCCTAATTGTATACGTTTCTTGAAAAAGTAGTGTTCAAATTTTATTAGTTTTTTTTTTTTTTTTTCCCTGAGTTTTTTGTGATGCCCTTCGTTACAGTTAAATTTACATATTACATTGCGTGTAATGTAATAATCAGACATTCAGCTATAATAATATATATTTTTAAATAACAACAAATCTAGCTAATTAATTAATTAAAATCGACTTGGGGGTTTAGGGTTGCAGAGATGTGGGAAAAGCTGCAGATTAAGATGGACTAATTACCTGAGGCCTGACATCAAGAGGGGCAAATTCAGCTTGCAAGAAGAACAGACCATCATTCAGCTCCACGCACTTCTTGGAAACAGGTTAATTAATTATTTATTTATTTAAAAAGGGTTTTGGATGATCAGAACTAGGGGGACCAAATAGTACCCGACACAAAATTGATTAATCACTGTATAGAGTTTTTTCATCCTACATTTATTGGTGTCATCTGGGCACTGCATAAATATACTCTCTAGCCTCTCTCAGAACTGACAATATCACACATATACTTTTTGGAACAATAATTCAAACTTAAATACATATCTTCGCAATATATATATAATCATAGATTTTATTTTATTTATTTTTTTAATCTTAAATCAACACCTAATTAACACCAATCATTTTACTTTCTATTATTGTGGGTCATCTTGATTTATTTTATTTTATTTTTGATTTTTTTTACTAGATGGTCCGCCATAGCTAGCCATTTGCCGAAAAGAACCGACAATGAGATCAAGAACTATTGGAACACGCACCTTAAAAAGAGATTAAGTAAAATGGGAATCGACCCGATTACCCACAAGCCTAAGAACCACCCGTTGATCGGGTCGGGTCAACCCAAAGACGTCGCGAACCTTAGCCACATGGCGCAATGGGAGAGTGCCCGGCTCGAGGCCGAGGCAAGAATTGTCCGAGAATCGAAACTAATGTCCTCAAACAACACTAATTTGTTGATCAACAAACCCGCCACCACCACAACCACCACCGCTCCGCCGCCGCCGCCGCCGCCGCCACGGCCGCCGTGTCTCGACATTCTAAAAGTTTGGCAAGGGGCATTTCTTACAAAGCCTAGGAAAGACACCACTCTCTCCATCATAGGCGGCCATGGATTCTCCACCACCACCGCCGCCGCCGGAACCCTCGAGTCGCCGACGTCGATACTCAACTTCATCGACGGAGGCGGCGGTGGCGGCGCCGGGCTGGTGATCCACCAAAACTGCACCTACATCAGCAACCTTAACAGAGATCACATAAACCAGGACTACGAGGGCAAGGGCATAACGGACAATTCACTACAGCTGCATGAGGGCAACATCGGAAACCCCATGATTATTCCTTCCTCTTACAATGTTGCAGATGATGACGATGATTCCTTAAGGCTTCCGACTTTTTTGGAGGGCTTCGAAGATCTGCCGGCTGAGACTACTTCAATTGGCTGCGCCACGTCATGCACCGGAATCGACGGCGGCGGTGGTGGCGCCGCCACCGGAGATAGCAAGAACAGTTACTGGAGCAGCATTCTGAGCTCTCCCATGGATGCTTTAGGGGTGATCTGATTCGAAGCTTACATTGAATATTCCATTGTCTGTATCAGAAGAAGATATGATCGTCGAGTGTAATTTACAGCGTGTGCTTAGCAAAGTTTGAGGTTGTTGTGGTTGCTGGGTTCTTTTATTTTATTTTATTTTGTTTTTTTGTTTTTGTGGTTAAGAATGGTTGCGAGAGTGCTTATGATTCTTAGTTGGGTCAATTAAATCAAGTATGCAATATTGTAATAATCTGCAAAACCTTAATTATTAGTGTAATTTGATCTGGCAATTAATTATTAGTTGGTGTAAGGATTTGGATAATAATGTGCTCAATTTATTTATGTATAAATAAATAAATAATTTATATTCTTTTAAATTTAAATTTTCGGTGAAATGAAACGGTTATTTAATATCATCTAATATAATATAGAGTCTAAGCGTCTGGTATTTGAATCTCATTGTTCCTATTCATAGTCATCCACTAGCAAAATTGTTGACTCCTGTGAAATATAAATTTATAAGTGAGACATATTATTTTTGTTATGAAGGTTTATCCCTTAGTCCGCTTTTGAGGAATAATGTTAAGGATTGGTTTGTGTTTTTTTTTTTAGAGACTTAAATAATATCTTTGTTTAATATTTAACGAGATAAAATAATACTCCCATTCGACCCAAAAGTATAGTCTTATTGTGTTGGACACGAGATTTAAAGAATATTGATATTATATTAGTAGTCGGTAAAAAGTAAGGATAAATGACTTTTTTGCCCTTGTTAGTATATTAAGGTAAAAAGTAGTGGCAATTGTGTAATAATAATGAAATAGTAGAGATAGTTTTATGGTGATCATTTATGAAAATGAGAATATTATTTTGGGACGGACAAAAATGGTAAACAATACTATTGTATTGAGGCGGAGGAAATACTATATTTTTATTGAAAATTACACGGTCTGAAGAGTACAAAAAAGATTTTTTAAATCAAAACCAAACAAACCCATGTGTGTCATTTTTTTTAATCTGTCATTTTCTTCAAATATTTTACAAATAATATACTACATTTTATTTTTAAATACTTCGTGTTGCACGGAATTTAAGAAATAATAATATTTTAATTATAATGAGAAGTTAAAAGTAGTATGATGACTTTTTTGCTCTTACTTTTTGGTATAAAAGTAATAGTGTGATATAAAATAAAAGTATTAATGAAAAAATATAAGGTATTTAATGAAATAGAAACATTGTAATTGAACATTCCAAAATAAAAATTCGTAGATTTTGTAACGTTATAATTTTATAGAATTAATTATAAAAATTGAAAATTAAAAATAAATGTGTATAATATATAAACATTTTTTTTATTTGAAATTATTGTTGCGGAAAACCGCAATAAATTTGGAAACAATAAATTAAATTTTTGTTTGTTGCGGACTTCCGCGACAAATTAGAAAATAACAAATATTGTTACGAAACTCCGCGACAATTAAATTACATATAATTCTTTTTTTAATTTTATGGTAAAAGTTCTAACAATTCATTACAAATTTTCTACAATAATATTATATTTTTCTAGTAGTGAACTGAACGGAGACAGTAAGTACTATCCGAAAGAATAAGTCATTCTTAATAACTTATTTCTGGTAGAGAATAATAACATATGATTAACTAATAATTATAATTCATAAATTAATTAATAAAGTATGAATAACTCATTCTTGTATAGTTAATGGCGGTTCTTATATTTAATTTGTGTGTCTAATTCTTGCAAATCTTGTCAATTTGCTTCACAGGTTGCATAATAATTAGGGATATCAAATGGGGCGGGTTAGCCCCGGACCCGCTCTTAATGGGGCAGGTTTGGGTCTAAATAATATGTTTTGGGGCGGGTTGTGGATTTAAAATTTTAAACCCGGCCGAGTTCGGGGCGGGTTACAGGTTTTACTAAAAATTCGTCCCAATCCGGACCCGGACCCGAACCCGAAAATTTTTTAAAATTATTATAACTAATATATATGTACATTTATATAATAAAAATATATTATTTATTTATTTAAATAATTTTAAATATAAAATTCAATTAGTCGTCTACTCCAAATAATTTTTTTAAAATTATTATATCTAATATATGTATATTTATATAATAAAAATATATTATTTATTTATTTATCTTTTTTTATGGATCAATATTTGATTGTTTTTAGATTTTTTTTTTTTTTTTTTTGCTTTTAGTACTATTTGTTTTAGTATTCGATTGTTAAAAAAATATTTATTATTATATATTTTTTAAAAAAACGGGTTTGCCGAGTTGGCCCCGAACCCAGAGAATTCGGGGCGGGGCGAATCCTAAGGCCAGGTAAAAGCGGAGTGAGGCGGGTCTCGGAGCCTAATATTTTCTAGCGGGGCGGGACTCGGGGCCTGCAGAACCCATCCCGAACTCGCCCGTTGACATCCCTAATAATAATATGTTATCCTGACATATCCAATACATTTATAGTTTGGTTAATTACAAAATAAGCAATATTTAAGTTATGACATAAACATATTCAAGACACACAAAATATTATGCTATATACAGTTTATATATTGTATTATATTTAAATATATATTCTACTGATAATTTAATAATATGTTATATTTTATATTGTAATACCATATATTGTATATATTGAGTCGATTACATATAACTTAGGGTGGTAATTCCAAAAGTAACATTCATTAACACTGGAAAAAAAAATAGTATATTTGTAACGGAATTTCGTTCCTAAAGTTCACGTAACTAACGTAATTTCATTACTAATTTCGTCTCTAATATTATTAGTAACATAAAAAAATAAATTTAAAAACGAAAAGACCTAATTACATAATTGATAGTGTAATGATTTTGGATTCGTTCTAGGTTAAAATATTGTTTTGAATAAAATATGTATTCAATGATCTATTTTTTATATATATATTTTAAGAAAAAAAAAATTTAAAGCAAACAAAACCCTTAAATTCTCACCAAATAAAATAGTGTTCAACATAGTAGAACATCATCTGAATTGTGTTTGATTTGTAAAATAACTTAAAGGAACTTTATATATGTATATATATACAATATGAAATTGTATAAATAATATAAAAATAATTAATATATATAATATACTATGTTTCTTTAAAAAATATAAATATTATTTTTGGCAGAAAAAACACACCCTTATTTGTTCAGACAATAATTATTTCCTAACATTTCTTAGCCTACAATTCTAACCCCACCCCCTCCTACCCCCTCAGGTAAAAATAATAAATAAATAAAAACAAGGCATATATATATATATATGATCATTTTATTTTAATAGAAAACTAAATTAATTAGAGTAATTAAAATATAAATTCCAACACTAATCTTGCACTACGTTTCCTAATTAATTAATGTAATTAGTTATAGGCTGACAAAAACTGGAATGATTTATATTTTTTTAACATGAATAAAGAATAATATATATGTATTTTATCTATATGTCTGAAATAAATTATCCATAGGTGGAGTAAGAATTTTATCCCATAAATCAGCCAACAGCTATAAATCCATTGAAAGCGAAAAATACATTATACAAAAAAATTTTGGTTCGCCAAAATTATATTGATATTTCTTTTTTCGATTATCTTGCTAAATTTATACACAGTAAAATATTTTATTCATCTATAATTTTATTATATTTATTTCAACAAATAATAGTAATAATTTTGTTACTATATTTTTTATATTTATTTACAATTTTTTCAACTTATTAATAAATTTTACATAATATTTTCATTTTATTTTTATCTACTCTATCTTAGCATTAATAATAGTATTATTTTCAATTTTTATATTCTATTAAAGTTATATTTTATTCGTTTTAAAATAATTGATTCATTTTATTAGTAATTTTGTATTTAAGATAATAAAATTTAATTAGTTAATAATATTAAGTTATGATACTCTATTATTTTATTATTTTTTATATCATTAATAATATTGATATGTTTAAACAAATTTAATATATATAATTAAAAAATTAGAATATATATTTATAATATGAATATTAGATAATACAATTTTCTATAGTACAAGTAAATAGAAAATACTTTTATTTATTTATAATTAATATAAACTAATTTTTTAAAAAAATACGAATATAATTAAATTGATTTATATTTTTTAAATATATTTTAATTTAATAAATTTTATTCAAAATATAAAGATGTTAATTGTTATGGGAGACACAAAAAAAATATCAATTATTCCTTCCGTTCTAACTAATTTGTTTTATTTAGCTGGACACTGAATTTTAGATATTATATAATTAGTAAGTAGTTAAAAAATCTATTAGTAAAAAAAATTATGATATAATAAAATAATTATATATTAAGATTAAAATAACTATATAGTTTAATTTTAAAAATGATATATGATAATTTTAAAGTACGAGTGTAATAATTATGGGTATATTTCTTTCCACAAATTTTTTCAAATCTTATTATTGACTCTGCGTTTTTCGAAAAAAATATTTTATCCATCGCATAACTAAATATCTGTTTGTTTTTTGCACGGGGTTTTAATAATATTAGTATTATATTTGGATGTAGTAGAAATAATGTTGAAATTACTAAAATACCCACATTTGTGATATTTTGTTATTGGATGGACTAAAATGAAAAAATAGATATTTTGTTATGGAAATGAGGGAATAGATTTTTTCCTCACATAAAACATTTCATCAAACATTATTTTAATACAAAACTCAAACTAAATTTTCTCAAACTCAACCAAAAGAAAGACACCCTATTTTTTTTTTTTTTAATAACATACTCCCTTCATCCGCCAAATTTATTTCCACTTTTATTTTTAATCTGTTAAATTTATCTCATTACTAAATTTGGTAAAGTCAACCAATCAATATTTAATTATTATTTTCTATTCAACACTTATTTATAACAAATACCAATAACTATATTACAATTTTTTATTTTTACTTTAATTTATAATGAAATTTAAAAACATTCCAACTATCTATAACATTTTTTATAAAGTATTTATTTTTTTTAATTTTCGTGTCAAACCAAATTGTGTTAATTTTTGTTGATGGATGAAGTAATAAATTAGTACGAAACGGAAAGAAGGGTAATGGATAAATTATATGCAAGAGAGAGAGTATAACGAAACGGAATGAGTATAATTTTTCAGGACAGAAGAGTAATAATTAATATATATAGGAAACTGTGTCATTCAGTATCCTCAGTATAGAATAGGGCACTGTTTGAAGTCAATTTTTGGCTATTGCAAAGAGCTATAGTTATATTCGAAATATACGTAAATTTATCGCCAGTGTCTGTACTGACCTTGCCCAATTCATTACCAACGATTTGACTACACACTCCCACAGTCCCACTCATATCATCAAATACGATAATTTAAGAATACCAGTGAAAGATGGCGTGGTGGTGTAGAGTTGTAAGTTGTGATCTGACGGTCAAAAATGGTAAAAAAGACTATTGTATTGGAATGAAAATTTTGAATAATTTCTACACCGTAGTTGGTAATAAAAATGACCAGGGAACAGATGGATCTGCACCGTCGGTACCATGGTGCATGGGGTGTCCAAATTATCTGACGGCTGACGATCGTTTACATACAGGAAGCTAATGTACAATCCTCTGAAGCACGGAAGGAGGGGGAGGAGAAAAGTACAAGCAAAGGATGCACACAGATGGAGACCTCGGGCCAGGGAATACTGCTTGTGTACAGATGGGCAGCAGACCACATTTAGGTATATAATTTAGGAGGCAGGAATTAGGCATTTGTACAATCCAACTGTTGGTCCCACATTTGCTTCATTCGCACGTGTTATAACTTATTTTTCTTTTAAACAAGGTATATGTTCATTTTTTTTTTTAGTAAAAATATCCTTCAATTAAATATTAAAATATTTTTTACTTTATTATCTTGAATAGATATAGAAGTTATTATTATTATTTTATTTTTTATTTTACGTGCCAGATCATTTCTTATGAGATAAATATAAAAAATATTGGCAAGAGTTTGCTATAGTTAAAAGCCACTCTACCACACTAATTCAGTTACTATTTGTGTTATTATTTAGTATTATTTGAGTTGAATATTTTATTTTTAATTTTTTTTAAAAAATAAGTCACATTAGGTGGTGACCATATACACATGTTTTATGACATTGTTACAATTTATATTAGAAATTAAAACATAAATGATTTTGAACAATAGCCATTGTAATCAATTAATTTATAGAGTATAAAAATTGTAAATCACCTACTACATTTACAACTCAAAAAATTAAACTTTGTTAAAATTAATTTTAAATATGATTTATCACAATCCCAATTAAAAATAAATATTCAAAAATAAACAAATAAACAAATAAAAAATGATAACATATACTACCGGTGTCACTCAAATGTATACAATTTAAATAAATAAATAGATGATAACATATACTACTGATGTTTAGGACAGAACTCTGCTCCAGTGTGTATATATACACACACTATGTATGTGGGAATTTTTGAGTTGTTTCACGTAGAATTTTGAGTTGAGATTTGAATAGTAAAAATTTTGAATTTGAATAGTTGTATGATGTGATATAAACAGGTGTTGATGTGATGTTTTAAATGTAAAATTGATTTTTAGTATAATATAAAAAATAAAAAATAAGTATTTGATTTGATATTTTTGAGGGAAAAAATAGGATGAATAGTTATACTCATGGGCCGGCCCGGTCTTTAAAACATTAAAAAAAAAAAAAAACTTTCTAAAATGATCAAACACCCTAAACTCTAATGGGCCGGCCCGGTCTTTAAAGCCCAAAATCAAAACGACTCGGACGAGAAAATCTCAGCCGTCGAATCCATCCCTGCAGATGACATCCTAACCAACTCACCTTCAAAGTTCAAACCATCCTTTCTTTGGCATCAAACGTTAGGACATAACCCTCACACCATAAGTAAACAATGTCCTTATTTTGTCGTAATTATCGCGAAAAAATTAGGATAATTTTATAAAAGAATGAGAAATTGTTACAAAAATAAAAATAAAATTATTGATTATAAACATACGAAAATAACAAAATAAGACTATATTATTTTAAGACAAAAAAAATATGTGTTTCTTTTGAATAAATTTTAAAAAAATTAATTTAAATTTAATATTAAAATAATATTTATAAAATATTTGATGAAATAAAAATTATAGTAGTATTTTTTTTTTCAAAAGAATACATAATGAAAATAACGAAGTTTGAAAAAATTTGAGAAAAACGAAAATGGCACAAATATTCATATACTACAATTTTCGTAAAATCCATAAAATTCAACCATTTACATTTTCCACGCTGTCCTGTCCGAAAAGAACAGGTACAACCTACTACCTATTACCTACTACTAGTCATAGACTATATATCTTTGTCATCGTGGTAGTTGAAAGGCAGCGGCACCGACTTAAAAGCCCGGAATTTTCCGACATTGTTGAGATGCTCATTCTCCAGCCTGAAAAAGTTCCACAGCCCCCGCCGGATTATCTCCAGCGCCGCCACCAGCGCCACCATTGTCTGCCGGTGGAGCGAAAATACCGTTATGTTCATCACTGTCTGCATCCACGCCAGCCTCAGCACCACATTCACACACTGCCATCCATTCCAATATTCAATTCAAAAAAATCTTCATTCTTACAACGCATGTATTGCTTCTCTTCTACATATAAGGCCACCATACTTTCTACTTTTCTCACATGTTATATTATTTTTCTTTTTTAAAAAATATTATACTTTCCTCGTTTATAGAAGAGTTGTTTTTTTTTTTTTTTTTATTCTAAAATAATTGTCTTGTTTCTTTAATTAGTAATAGTAGTTTTTACTCTATAACAAAATTATTCATATTTTTTCAAACTACTATGATAATTACTTTAACCTATTTTTTATAATTCTTGAAAAATAATTGCATTTTAGTCTTTTACATTGTACCACTTTCAATTAAATATTATTATCGTACCAATTTTCAACAAAATATTTCTTTTAGGACGAAAAGAGTATATTTTAATCATTTTTAAAAATTTAAAATTTGTTAAATTTTTATTAAAGTAATAAGTTATTTTAACTTTAATTTATAATGATTTGTATTATATTATAATTAATTTTACTACTATATTTTTAATTATTTAATAATTATACTCTTCATAAATTATAACCAGAGTAATTAATATACAAATAATCACTCACCATGGCCACAAAGTAGACAGTCTTGTGTGGAATAAGTAGCTTGTCTCTGAGCCACAGGTTCTTTGATCCACGCTGGAACAGTCCCCAGTCCATGACGATGTCCCAATACGTGCTGAAGATTGTCGCCACCGCCGAGGCTGTCCACGCCGTCAACTTCCAGGCAGCCCCGCCGTTCAGCGTATAGGCTGTCCTGGAACACACTGCCAAGATTGTCGATAAATACTTCAGCCCGTTATATCCCTGCTTCGCGTCTCTCTCTTCCAACAGCCGCCGCACACACTGTCGAGAAAACATCGTATTTTAGTATCCATTCTCTGTTTTATTACAATGATTCAGTTGGAAAACTTTATAACATGTAATTAACGATGGCAGCAACTATAGTGCTAAATTTAAGAAGTGATGACGATCATTTATATTAATACAATATAAATATAACATATGACATAGTCTCACACATTGTAATTAGGGGTGTGCATTTGGTCGGTTCGGTTCGATTTAAAACCGAAGAAAACGAACTTTTATTTATTAATATATATTTTTAATATACAATAAAATATAAATACTCTAACATTATAATATATATGATTTATTTATATGGAGCATAATTTATTATTATTTTTAAAAGTTTGGTTTTTTCGGTTAACCAAAATTAAAACCCATAACCGAACCAAAATCGAAAGTCATAAATTCAGTTTTGGACGAAACCAAACTAATTAATTGAACAATCCAAAACAAACAGTCCGAACCGAAAAAAATTTCGATTTTTTCGGTTTGAACCAACCAATGCTCACCCCTAGTTGTAATTATGAAAAAATACCACATACTTTTATTACAAACAACACATGCTATATGTAATAATAACATGCATTATTTCTATATTTTACATGAAAATCAGCACCGTGCACCGTACCCGTCCCCAATTAACGATATAATTCAAACATAATGCTAATAACATACGACAATTACCTACCTAGCACATAATACTGTTGATGTCAGCACATCAAATATATTTATACAATATATTCTCTAAATATGAACTGTTAGCACATAGTTTCAATTAACACAGTATCTTAATTGAAACTGTTAAGAGTCTATTTCTTAGGTGATGATATTTAACATGTGAGACTTAAGCTAACTGAAAAATTCATCCTTAATTACATATTATATTATATGATATTTCAATAAATCTTCTTAAAAATTTGTGTTAGTTTTAAGCACCTGGAGGAGTCGCCACCAGTACGGTATCGCGGCAATGATGAAAGAAAATGTATTAAAAACATCGCTCTCACGGCAGTTGTTTTCGCGGCGTTTATAATCTCCCCATCCGTAGTGACAAACATAAAATTCCAAGCTTCGTAGCGCTTGAACCTGATTCAAGACAGGACAAACATTAGCATTATCCGAATATCGATACATTTTGGCTCCAAATTGTACTAAATCAGTGTTGTCTGAACCTGGCTCGTAAGCTGGTCCGCCAAGAAGAAATCTGGCAGCGAAACCTTGTACAGCGGTGCCAACACGCAATGGAACAGGCAAACGAGCAGGAAGAACCGGCTCGATCGATACATGATGTTCAAAGGGCAGAGCATAATGACAATCACCAGCTGCAAAACAGAAAAACATAAGTTTATACATCCTTGTACATTTAAGGCCACGTTGCGATTTTATTACAACGCCGTTCAGTTCTTACCCCGACTAATCCGAGGGGAAGGAGTTCTGTAATAGCTTGGTAGTCTTGAGTTACCGGATCCATTTCCATGTCGAGATTGGCGAGAACGCTGGCTAGAGCTAATACGGACAGACAGAAACCGAATAAAAGAACCTCTCTGTAGCCTAACTCTGTCCCTTCTTTAAACCCGAATATGAAAGAATAATTCACTCTGTATCGCCTCCAGAAGTATATGTTTGCCGCGTACATAAACATGTGTAGAACCATGAACCCGAACAAACTGCGTGTAATAAAATCGCGGCTTTAGCACGCAGTCTTTCTATTTCTTAACCAAATGCGCGCCATACGAAGCTCGATTATTACCTGTATAGAGGAAACATGGTTTCCATGTACACCACTCTCCCGTCGTTGTCCAAAATGTTGCGCGCGCGGATGATTAGGACAAGCGCTAATATTAGAGCCACGGTGCAGCCAACGAGAAATCCTGCAAATGGATGGCGCAGGTGAGGACATGGCGACAAATAATTTAAGGATTATTGTTCAAAGAAAAACATTCGAAGATGTTTTTCCTTTTTTTTTTTTTTTTACCCATGGAGAATGTGACTTTGTGCTTTTCGATCTTTTTCTTTGGCCTTAAGACACTCATCCCTTTACGGCGATTGGAGTTGGCGAAATGCTTGATGAATGTTACTTCGACTCTTTCCATCAATTTGCTCACCGTATCCGAGCTTCCAAGGTATGAATCATCGACCATTTTCATGTACAATTTGGAGGCATTTCTCGAAGCAATCTATGTTGGATTAAAAATTTAATTGTGCATTAAATTGTAACTATTAGAACCATAAGTCATATTAAGCCTATATTAAATGATAAGTTAAATGTATTTAGTAAGTGCGACCCTTTGAAGAACACAAAACTTTCTATCAATTTGTAGATATTGAAACCGATAATGTTAATGGAATCCTATTAGATTTAATTAGCTTTATTTTTTTATCTTATCTATTTAGGGTTTAATTTCTGATAAATTCCAATAGTTTAATACAACGATTTCATCTAAAAGTTTAAGCTTATAAGAACATGAATAATTTATTACATATCATATAGTTTTTGAGCACGTACCTTATCGTATTTCTTCATGATTTTCGCGAACGCCAAAATGTTGAGAAAACTGCACACGGAGTGAAGAGATCGTCGTCTTCAATTAAATTAACAAAACATAAATCTATGAAGTAGCTAGTGAGTAAATTACCTATAGCTTTTTAGAAGCTTTAGCTTGTGGTAGAATTCGATGAACGCTTGCTTGAGCTGTTCTTCTGCTCTGTTCAAGTTATCCTTACTGAAATTAAGGTCTCGCTGTCCGGACATATTGAGCATAACCTTAAACATCGATCGAGGAGTTTCGTTGTTTTTGTTGATCTTTACATGTTGAAGAATCTCCAACGGCGGTGGCCTCGCGCCCCTTATGTCTATTTGTTGCTTGTGCTTTTGAATCTCCGAATCTTCCGAGCTTAAATGACTCAAACTCTCTTCGTCTATTACAACCATCAGAGCTCTTCCTACATCGATATGTACAACAAAAAACGACAAAATTAAAATTTTCCGATGTAATAATTTCGAGACAATAGATCAATGTTATTCTTATATGTACAAGTTTAGTATGAGCTTGTTTATTAGGATTCCCACACGTTTCATATCTCCGTAGCTTCCACACTACATGCCTATACATATAAAAATTATATATATAAATATGCATACACTTATATTGTATATACACATTATGAGTGCGGAGACTGAGGAATTTTCATAATCTATATATATAAAGTAATAATCTCATCGAAAAAGACTTAAATTATTTTGGTGAAATTATAATTTTATATGATATTAGAATCAAAATGTTTTGTGTTTAAATTTTATTGTTCTTGATTCCTACTTGGCATATATCTATTTTGTATATATTTATAATAAATTAATAATAAGTATTTCTTTTAAATTTAAATTTTTAGGTTCTTACTCGCCGCTAATGGAGTGGTGGCATGTAAGGCCACTCTAGAAGCCGCGACGTCAGAAGCAAGCCTCGACGTCTCCTCCGACGTATTATTCCATCCCGCCGGCTTCGTGACCTTAACACGGAAAGCAATGAGCGCCTCCATTTGCCGGTTTAGGACACCGGCCTCGTTCAAGACCTCCTCGACTTTCGCCTTGTAAAATTTTGACACCTTGTTGAACTCATCGTCGAGGTACTTGAAATAAACGAGCTCGTACTCCCCGCCGTCGTCGGCCACCATTAGGAACATCGTCTCCGACCCCTCGGCGCCGTCCCGCCGCACATTGTTCACGAGAATAACCGGGTCCTCGACGTCGCCGGACGGCGGCGGGTTATTACCCTTTTGTCCTATTAGGCCACTAAATGCTCTGTATAGTGTGCGAGTCCGACTCATTCTGGCGGCGGCACCGCCGGCCGCCGCCGCCGCCCGGGTGGTCCGGTGATGGTGAATTGGCTTTAAATGGCTTTTCATGAAATTGTAGTTCATGTAAGCTTCCTGCCATTCTGGCACTAGTTGGGATGCAAATTCCTTACCAAATTTCATTAGGACATGAAATTGAAAACCTTTGTTCTGCAGAAGATACAGACATACGTGAAATTATATAGATTTGATGTATACGTGGAAAATGACCAATAATCATCAGAGCAGACGTATTTTGAATAATCTGTAGTGCAACTTGCGGAAACTTTTCTGCACGAATGCGTCTATATTAATTAATTATCTTTCTCGTTAAAATCTGCTTTTTGCCAGCAATAATTTGGTTGTTAAATCTGAAAATGACAAATCGATGTGGGATTTAGTGAAAGTTCCATGGCTTGATTTTGACTTTTTTACTCAACGCTTTTGTCAGAATTGACTGTTGGCTTTAAGACAGCTACGCGATAAATAGGGCGCCACGCGCCAGGAGATTATTCGTCACAGTTGACTGTGTTGAATAAAATCAAAGCACGTGGGACCAAAGATAATGACCATTTAGGATGAACACTATTTGGGATATTTACAAATATATAAGTATTTGGTATTCGAATAGAATTGAACAAATATTTGAAATCGTAAATCATATTTGAATTGGTTTTAACTAAATTTTTAATTAATTAAAAATATTTATTAATATATCAAATATATAATATTTGTATTCAAATCGAATTTTCTGGATCCGCAAGAATTTGATTCCATTCAATTCGATTTTTTTTTGGCCACTCTGACAATTTTGGTAGGTATACAGGAAACACGTCATTGTCCAATGTCCAGTCAATGATTTAATGAAATAATATTTCATTATTTATAGTGCTATTTTTGGTAAAAAGATTTTACACACACTGTTCTTTCCACTTAAAAATTAAATTATTTTTTGTTGGGCCTTAATAAGTATATACATATGGGCTTTCACTTGCCACTTAAAAGGCCCATCAAAGCTTTTGTAATTTAGAATTATCGGATTAACGGAGAGGAAGCACAGAACAGTCGAAGAAGGTGAATGTGGAGTTTGGAGAAGAGGAGAGAGCGTTGGAGGAGTGATTTCAAGTGGTTTCAGATCTTGACAAGTGCATGGAGGCAAAGAAGGTAGGGAAATCAATTGGAGGAAGAATAACGACGCGGCGGAGGATTCTAAGGAAAATGTTGGAACGTTGGTTATGATCAGAGTAAGGTTTTGAAGATTGAGTAATTTAAGTTAGTGTGATTTTATTGCTTTATTCTGATTGGAACTTCGATTGTTTAGTGCAATTTCGTTGGTGATTTGCTTGTGTTTTTCAATTGAATGCTAAAACAGTAGTATCCATTCTACTTGAGGTTGGAGTAGTTGAATTAACAAAATTACTATGCACGGGGCTGGGTAGGAATGTAGAACTGGATAAGAACTGTTTATAGTAAGCTGCCATAGGAATTCATTGGCAATCTACGAGAAATTGGATTATAAGTAGAATAAGAAACTTTTCTTCAAATTGTATTGGTATTCCTTTCCTCATTAATCTTCCTTGTGTAGGAGAACTGTTGTGGAAGCAATTCTACTCATCTTTATCTTCTTCATAATAGAAAGGTAATGGCACCGTTTTGAACGCACGATATTTGCCAACGTTGTTAAGATGTTCATTTTCCAACCTGTGAATAACATGAGGAATTCAATTCCAGGCATCAATCCTGTGAAGAATCTTTACTAGACTTCAAAACTTGAAGGGTAGTGTGTACTGTCTCATAGCTTGATGCTAAATTACCTGAAGAAGTTCCACATACCACGCCGAATAATCTCCAGAGAAGCCACAAGTGCAGCCACTGCTTGCTTATGCAATGAGAAAATTGAGATGTTCATCACAGTCTGCATCCAGGCTAGCCTCAACAAGACGTTCAAAATCTGCATTGCAAGAATAAAGAAAATCAATACTGAAGTCATTGGACAGAGGATGTGTTATGCTTACTGACTCACCATGGCTGCAAAGTACACACTTTTGTATGGGAGAAGTAGTCTGTCCCTCAACCATGGATTCTTAGAGCTTCTCCGGAAGAGACCCCAGTCCTGGACAAGGTCCCAATATGTGCTAATGGCTGTAGCAGTGACCGATGTTATCCAGGCTGTTACCATCCAAGAAACTCCTCCTACCTTGCTATAGGCTGTTCTTGAACAGACTGCCAGAATGGTTGTAAAATATTTCAAGCCGTTGCACCCTTGCCAGGCATTCTTCTCTTCAACCACGCGCCGAAGACACTAAACAAGGATGAATCCATGTTAGTCTCGATTCCATAATCTTTGTTGGCGCGTGAACATGTTGTTTCAAGTGGTTGTTCTAAGGACCTGAAGGAGGCGCAACAAGTATGGCAATGCAGCCACAAAGTAATAGAAGGAAATGAAAATCTTGTTTTCATAGCAAGTATTATGTCTGAGTCTGAAGTCACCCCAGCCGTAGTAGCAAATATAGAATTCTAAGCTCCTAAATGCCTGAACCTGCACGGAAATAGCACATAGTTTGCAAAATATTCCTTCTGAGACATTTGATATATGCACCTCACAGTTAAAAGCAATGCTCGACCTGGCTTGTAAGCTGATCTCCAAGGAAGAAGTCTGGTAACGAAACCTGCATGTAAGAGATATCTGAGTTCTACAGGTACGCAAATTTACCTACCTGAATTTATAGTTTAGTTTGCTTACCTTATATAAAGGAGCTAAGAGACAACGATATATGCACCCAAGTAGGAAAAAGCGAGTTGGTCGGTACACAATGTTAAAAGGGCACATCATAATGGCAATTAGTAGCTGCCAAAAAGAGGTAACTTGAGGGTGAGGATAACTTAAAAAATTGCATGTTAAACAGAGAAGATAGATTGCAATGAACTGTTTGTTTACCACTAGTAGCGCAGCTGGTAGAAGTTCAGTAAGAGCTTTGTAATCTAGAGTCACTGGATCCATTTCCAAATCCAGATTGGAAATCACACAACCGAGGGCTAGCACACTAAGACCGGATGCTACAAGTAGAACCTCTCTGTAGCCTAGCTCTGTTCCTTCTTTGATACCAAATATGAATGGATAATTAATTCGATATCGCCTCCAGAAGTATATATTTGCAGCAAACACCATCATGTGTAGAACAATGAACCCAAAAACACTGTAGCAACATTCCCTTTTGACTATTAGGAGAAAGGCTTTAGATATGTGCATTATTCTGAATTCTTTAAGATAATGAAAAAAGGTTTAAGTATCTGCATCTTTCATTGCGTTTGATTATTTATAAGTACAGTACATCTTGCTATTGAAAACACATAAACATGTGTAAGAATTTGCCTGTATAGAGGAAACACGGTTTCCATGTACAGCTCCTTCCCCTCTTTCTCTAGAAGGTCATGAGCATGAATTGTTGAAATTAGACCTAATATCAGAGCAACCGTTCCGCCACAAAGAAATCCTGACATATAAGTCACAAAGAAACTAGGTTATGACTAATAGAAGAAGAAGAAGACCTTGAGGAAAGTCACGTAAAAAGACATTGAGGAAAAAGCAACTACCTATAAGAAAACTGAGTCTATGCTTTTCCCTTTTCTTCTGTGGCCTTAAGATACTCATTGCTTTGCCACGATTTGAGTCAGTGAAATGTTTGATAAACGTTGATTCTACTTTTTCCATCAACCTGCTTACCTGTATAGATTACAAGTCAAATATTTATCAATGCTGCATATTAAAAAATGTGGCTTCTGATAAACAGCTAAAATCCAACCTCATCAGAGCTTCCAAGATGGGAATTATCAACTACTTCCATGTAAGTTTTTGATGCGTTCTTTGAAGTAACCTTTAACAGAGTAGTTATGTCAGCATTATATTGCCAAAACATTCTAATTTTTTGCATATTGCTTCTATTGCATACCTTATCGTATTTTTTCAGGATTTTTGAGATTGCCATAACATTGTGGAAACTGTTTGCATTGGCACGAACACAAGGGAATGCACCATTAGTATAAAAATGCTTCCGTACATATTCTTTTGTGAACTATAACATGCAGGCAGCTAATTACCTGTAACTTCTTAGAAGCATTAGCTTATGGTAGAACTCAGTGAATGCCTGCTTGAGTTGTTCTTCTGCTTTCCTTAAATTGCGCCTGCTGAACTTCAGTTCCTTTTCGCGTTCTATCTTCTCATGAAGTTTTACACGGTCAAGTACCTCCAATGACGCTGGTCTTTTGGCCGCTGCGCCAGAAACACTTGTGTGAGCGTCTATCTGCTCTACATCTTTGTTATCGTCACTTGTATCTGTCGCACTTTCTTCATCAATCTCATCTATTGTGATTGTTCCTGTATTGACATTCCGAATTAGGACAAAATTTCATCTACATTCAATATTTTTAATGATCAAGAATATGTTCTTACTTTCAACTCTTGCTGATGATGGAGTTGTGGCATTCAATGCAGCTGCAGAAGCCGCGATGCCGGAAGCAAGATTACTACTTTCCTGCAAGCTATCTTTCCAGCCTTGGGGATTCTCCACCTTGACTCGGAATGCAATCAGAGCATGCATTTGCTTGGTTAGGCCCAGTGCCTCGGCCCTCACCTCCTCGACTTTCTGCTTGTAAAACTTCAAGACCTTATTGAACTCCTGGTCTAACTTTTCGAAAAAAGCCGTGTGAGACAGCCCCCCGTGTTCTGCTTCCTCAAGATATGTAGTCTCGTATTGCTCGGCCCCAACCTCGCCCACATTTTTCACAATAATAACCTGATGATGATGATGATGATGAAGATGATGATGATGGTGATGATGATGATGTTCTCTTGTTGATTTTGCAGGGGAAAGTGGTGACTTGTTGGTTAGACCGCTGAATGCTCTGTAAAGGGTGAGGTCTCGCCGGAGGCCCGCCGGGGCTGGCGGCGGCGGCGGCGGAGGGTTCACGTCTTGGATTTCTTTCAATTGAATTTTCAGATGATTATAATTCAGGTATGCTTCTTGCCATTCTGGCACCATCTGTGACATAAATTCTTTGCCATATTTCATCTTGTTTTTGTTAGCTTCAATCCTGAAAATATTAACAATGTCATTAAGAGCACTTAGAGAGAGAGAGAGGAAAAAAAAGAAAAAAAAAAAGAGAGAGAGAGAGAGAGAGAGAGAATAGACGTAAGGAATTTCGCCGGCGGCGGCAATGGAACGGAGAAGGCAGGGATACAAATATTTCATAAACACAAAAATGAAAATGGTAAAAGTTACCTTGATGGATAAAAATGGTAGTATGAATATTTATGCTGGTGCTATTAATGGTAGTAGTAAGATTTGAAATTAGGAATGTCAACCTGCCTGCCTGCCTACCACCATTGCTATTGAATATATTTATTTTTAAAAAAATAATAAGAGAATAATATTCTGATTCTTGCTGTTAAATATATTGATATCAATGTAGATGCTAAAAATATATATATACACTTTTATGAAGTTTTATATAGTGTTAATTGAACTTGTGGAACGTATACTGAAGGTTACCATTAGCTCATTAGCTGCATTAATAATTATATGAAGTAACATATCTGGTCAAGATTTTTGGCTTTTGTAAGTAATCGAAGCTTGAGTGAATTTTAGTTTTTGATCACTTAAATATGGTATTTCATTCAGTGTTAATATATATATATATATATTGCTATATAAGACGTTTAATGAATATGAACTTTATAATATTAATAAAATATTAGTATATTCTTTTATATATTTTTTCGACACATATGATAGAGTCATTGCAATCCAAAAGGATTTTATTCTTTTACATATTTATATCTTGTTTATGAAATATTAAACATTATTATTATTTTTTTAATCTGGATCCATTACTTGCGGAGGTCAATAATTCAGATCTGAATTTTTATTCATCCAAGAAAGTATATAATAAATATATGCAATGCAAGTGACATCAATTTTCAATTATCTTAGCTCGATTTAGAAAAAAAATAAATAAAATTTGAAAGTTCGGAAAATTTGAAAATAGCAGTTAATAGTATTTGATATAATGTTTTGTAAAAAATATATATTTAATGTGATATTTTTTTAAAATAATTGAATAATGTCATAAATTTCAAAATTGCCTTGTAAAGAGAGATGATGGTTATTGGATTATTAAAAATTGGTTCAATGATCGTGATGTATTAATATTAAGAGGGTCTGTTATTTTGTCGATTAAGAATGACAATCTGTTGAATGATTTACGTTGTTTATTAAAGTTTCTAAATGTTATGCATTGACCTTAATTTGTTTATTGAGCTCTAGAGTTTGGAGTAGTATTTTTTTTATGTATATTATTATTTTAATTATGTTGCATTTTATAATAATTTTGATCTTAATTTAGTACACTTCAGACGCTAAAAACACGATTTTTTTTTCTTGACAACCATGCTGGCTATTATCTCAAATCCTGGGCGCCACGTAGATATCATCAAAATGGTAAATTCCACGTGGAATAAACCCATTGGATAATATCCTAATATTTACACAATAATGACGCACCTAATTTTTTTTAAGGAAAAAAAAAAAATCGAAGATCAGGAAACAAAGCAGTGATTGTGATTTGGAAAAGAAGTCCGACACAATCGCAATTGGGGCAGAAATCTCTCGATTAACCCCAAAATCCTCAGCCACAAACCTCCTTCACAGTCACAGTTTGTTCGATTGTGGTGTTTAGTTTTTATTATTGTTAATTATGAATATGCAAATCCGAAGACAGCGTTTCGTACTTGTTCTGCTCTTAGTTTTCCTGCTATGGTGCCGGGTCGAGTCGATCCGATTCGATCTGGAGTCGGGTCACACCAAATGCATATCGGAGGATATTAGGAGCAATTCGATGACTGTCGGTAAATACCATGTTGTGAACCCTAATGATGGCCACCCTTTACCTGATTCTCACAGAGTCACTGTTCGGGTAATTTATGCTCCTCTTCGAAAGCTTATATCTTTTCTTAATTGGCCATGTCGTTTAGGTTTTTGGACTGTGGTTTCGCTATAGTCTATGTCTTTCTTTCTGCAATTTTTTCTTTGCGTAAGCATTCAAAAGAAATTATGTGAGATTGCGTTAAATTTTAGAGGAGAATTTGGATGAACAAATTCCTGTGGAGTGGATTATTGGTTTTTTGTTGGTTTTTTTGAGTAAATTCTTTTACTTGGTGGTGTTATGATTGCAAAACAGTGTTATCTACATTTGAGGATTTGAATTTGGTGACATGCTTTTAATTTTTTTTTGTAGAGGATGAAAGATGAGAATTTATATCATTCTTGAATTATGTAAAAATGTGTGTTTATTATGTAGTATATAATTGTGAATAATGTAATTCGTTGAGATTTTAACTTCACTTGGTGGATGTTCTCCGGTTAGATTGAAGTTTCAGATATTTTGGAGCTTTTGGAAAATTTTGGAAATTATAAAAAAGGTTTAATATTTGATGTCAATTTTTTATTTTTTTTTACCAATTTCAAAACGGGATAACATGCTCTACAGGGCATGGGTTCCAGTATCATATAAGTGTTTCTTCTTAGGAATGTCTGCGAATTTGATTAATTGCTCTTCTTGCTTTGTCAGCAGATAGAGATATATGTCGAATGTGATATTTTTTTTCTTGAAAAAAAAATTGCTATTGATGAATAGTGATGAACATTTCAAAAATATATGTCTTTAAGATCTTATATATATCTGTGAAAACATACAGGTGACATCGTCTTATGGAAATAGCTACCACTATGCAGACCATGTAAATGACGGTAACTTTGCATATCAAACGGTGGAGGAAGGCGACTACCTGGCTTGCTTTACCGCTGCAAATCACAGTCCAGCAACTACTATAACCATTGAATTCGATTGGAAGTCCGGCATTGCTGCCAAGGATTGGGGCAGCGTTGCCAAAAAGGATTCCGTTGAAGTAAGCACTTGTATTTATTTTAACGTATGTGCAGAAACTGAGATTAATTTAACTGCACTTGATTGGAATAGCCTTGGCCATGAGCAATTTTGAGATAAGCTTTTAGTTTCTGTAATTCTTGCTGAATGAGCCTTAAATTCTCAGATGTTTTGTAGGACTTAGAAGATTCGTTCATAAGCTGATTAGGATACATCATCAAAGTACAGCCATAAGTTCTGAAATTTTTTAGAATTAACTTAAAGAATCTGACATCCCCGGGTAATCGTTAACTATAGTATCAACTAGTTTGAATTGAAATCCTTTCGCTTCGACCTGAGAATATAATATGTGATTAAGGTAGGTTTATGGTTTAGGACCCTTTTAACACTTTCACTTCGATTCATGACCGATTTATGCTTATGTTTTTTGTCTTCTTCTTCTCTTTATGTTCATCCTTTTTACCGGCATCAGTTAATGGAAGTGGAACTGAAGAAAATGCTCGACACGGTGCAATCCATCAACGAAGAGATGTATTATCTACGCGAAAGGCAAGCAGTGTCGAACAAATTTTTACTCAAAAAAGAAATAAAATCAGTGCACCTGTATTACATCTTACATTATAAATGTTGTCGACAGCAGTTGAATTGCTCGGTGTTATTGCAGGGAACAAGAGATGCAGCAGCTGAACAGATCGACAAACGACAAAATGTTCTGGTTTAGCTTTTTGTCAATCCTTGTTAGCCTGTCGGTTTCGGGACTGCAGCTATGGCATTTGAAGACTTTCTTCGAGAAGAAAAAGCTCATTTAGCTTTACTTGGCTGCTGTAACTAACTCTCCAAACTTAGTTGTGTACAATCAGAGTCTGATCGCACTTTTTGTTCAGTTCGGTGCCTCGCCGGGGATTTTTGGGGACTCGGTTTCTTTCGCGGTAAGTGTCAACGTTATATATATACTCTTTATATATGTTGCTAGTATCTTTTATGGTACGGTATGATTCTTGTCGTTCAATACAACAACGTACACTGCAGGTGACAAATTGGGACAAATTCTCGCCCGTCGGTATAAAATTATCTAAAATTATACTGAATAGAATAGTTGTAGGTAACTTCAAATTGTGCACGTGACCAGTGGTTGTGGGCTGGGTCCGAAATGGTAATGGGCTACGTAATATTTGTTGGGCTGGGCTTTTGTGAGTTGAGCTTGTCGTCTTATGGACCGATTAAAATAGGCCCAAATTGGAGTAGGCTGAACTTTATTGATTGGGCTGTATTTGTTTGGTTCGGCTTTAGTACGGATCCGCGCCGGCAATGGTACTGGGCCATCCGCATCAGTGGGGTTTAATCTGTTATAATACTCGGCCCGGTTGCATTGGGCTGGGTTCGAAACTTTCCACATTGTTTGGGCCGACATAATGAAAAAATGGCCGGATTAGCCCAATCACTTTAACTGAGTTGTTTTGGATACGCAAGCCTTGTAAACGTTTTCATATATGGGCTGATAAAACAGGGCTCTGGCCCAGCTAGAATTCAATGCTAGGCGCTTAGAATGGCAACTTGAACCGGGCCTAATTAAATGGGCCGGACCAACATTCGAATCGGATCCAATATAGGGAATTGAGTTCAACATTTGAGATTGGGAAAGTTTGGGTAGGCCCAAAAGTGTAACCATATATAGGCCTGGCTAACTCGACTTGGCAGGCCTAACTTTTATATAATTGGGGCATAAATACTCGAATTGAGTTCAAAAATTTATGCAAAAGGTTCAGTTAGTTTTAAATACTCGCTCCTTCTCTTATCTATCTATTTGTAAAAATAAATATAAAAAAAAATTAATATAGTATAATATAAAAATAATAATATTTATAAATTAGAAGTATATAAATAGTACTGTTATTAAAAAAATAAATAAATACTTTCATATGAAAAATAAGACTAAAAAAAATGAGACCGTAATCATTTTTACTTAAAATTACAAAAAAAAAAGAAACCAATATAAATTAAAATTGACATAATGAAATCTAAATAAAGAGTTGATTCCTATATATATATATTCACACACAAATCATATCTACCCTGGTATCAAAATTACAACCTAACATATAGATAGATGCAAATGAATAAACAATGCAGTGACTCACTCACATACCTTTCCCCTCAGGTTTGAGGTTATGTAAAAAGGTTCCAATGGTGGTGATGGTGGTGGTGATCGGAGGAGGACGAGGATGTGTCTCCCCTCATTCTTTCAAGCCTTTTCAAAATATCCAAGAACGACGGCCGGTTGTTCATGTCGGCAGCCCAGCACTGCTCAATCAACCTATGTACAAGGGACAACCATTCTTGGTACAACATTTTTTAGCATTTCAATTCACATAGTTCAAATATCTCAGCAGCTACTTACTCTCTCAGATCATGACTTACGCCTCTCGCTCTAAATGCCGGCCTCTGTCCTTCAGCCAACAGCCGAGCTGCTTCATACGGTTCGTAAGCAGACAGTGGTTGATCGCCTTCAAGCATCTGCAGGATGGTGCATTACACGGTTAGGGGATTTGAATTGGATTATCCGGTTAAGTAGTATTTGATTTACCTCGTATAGTATCATTGCGAATGAGTATACGTCAACCTTCTTGTCATACTTCCGGTGCTTGAAGACCTCAGGCGCCATGTAACGGTCTTGAGTTTTCAAACAAAAAGAGTGTATTGAGCATTTGATAGCATGTCCCAAATAGAAAACTAAGTTTAACAAATAGTTGCTCACAGCTTCCAGTCTCGCCCGTCATTTTGTACACTTCGTGAGAATGTTGTACCCGGATAAGCTTACTTAAACCAAAATCTCCTACTTTCAAATGGTCTGCAGTTGCATTGACAAGAAGAATATTCCTGAAACGTACCATGTATTATTGACTACCTTCAAAGTAATGAGTCGAAGATCGCTCATTTTTGTGTTGCATGCATTATAGGAAGAAGAATGGTAATGATCATTGAGGAACTGATTTAGATTTCTGGCAGAAACATGGAATTACCTTGGTTTAAGATCCCGGTGTACTATAACATTCGGTTCACTGTGGAGATAAGCCATGCCCCTGTTCAACAAAAAATTATAAGAATCAGATTAGTCATGTATAAGTTCTGGCAAAACAGGACAGGACAGAAGAAAATGTTACAAGAAATTCCAGATTTTATAAGAATGATTATGGATATTTTGAATGCAGAATGAGATATTTGTTATGATGGGGAAGTCGTGGACAATTTGGCATTTTAGATGAACATCAAGGAGAAAAGAAGAAAATATTTGATTTCATCCTGTGGCAAAGATACTCAGATATGTCTTCAGTTCATATAATAATGCAGCAAAAATGGTGGTTGATGGTGATATCACAGTGATAGCAACTTCAGTTGAAGTTTTACCTGGCAATGTCTAATGCAAAATTTATTGCAGTCGCAGAATGGAGAGACCCTTTTTCCTTCAGATGTTGATGCAAATCGCCCTACAACATAAAAATGACCACTTAATGTAATTTCATTTCCAAACTGACATAGATACATAGTTCCCCACAGCAAGACTGGGAAAACATTCACTCACCCCTCTCAAGTACTCGGTAATTAGCATTAAGGGTTTCTTGTCAGTGACTGCTCCAAGAAATTGGACAACATTTGGATGGCGAAGCTTCACTAGCAAATTTACCTCATGCCTGAAGTCCTGACTGAATGAAGCCAGAGAAAATCGGAGGAAAAAGCCAAATGTATTGTCATGACAGATATAGTGATATAAATTCAGGAAGCTGCAAATTTAAACAAGTGAACTGCAAACATCTTAAAAAGGATTTGCTGTTCCAGAGGCCAGTTTTGCACTTAACAAAGTTCTATTGTTGGTGCTGATCAATTATAAGCATACATCACCAATTTATCATCAATTATAACAAATACTACCATCTAATATTCCACACATACGGGGCATCAAGAATGCTGATCAATTATAAGCATACATCACCAATTTATCATCCGAAAGGTTTGGAAGGATGCGTTTTATGGCGACAGGCGTTCCCCGCCAAGTAGCTTTAAGTATCTCACCAAAAGACCCCTACCAATATTGAAAAAAATAAGGCCACAGCCACTGGATCAAGATAAAAAAGAAACAAGGTAGAGAATATTATGAACAGACATAACTACATCTCTAAAGCATCTACCCAAGTAGAGAGAAGATTATCTCTTATTAAGCTCCTTTAGAAACTATGAGTGCTTAATCCAGAATCTTGGTTTTTTGGGTTGGAAGTACTAACTGAAAGTGAATCCTGACCTTCCCTATAATACTTGCATTTGTAAAGTCCAACTCATCGGGGTCAATCTCCCAGTCACACTTGTTCGGTAGAGGGGGTGGAAGAGGCTTTTGTTCAAAATGACTTCCATTTTGACCCTGCAATATCCTCAAATGTTAAATGCAAGAAAAGAACTACAAATCGGTTCCAAAAAATAAGAAGATAAACAATGGCATATGTTCTCAATCCACTAACTCAGCTGTCCCATTACTACCTTCAAGAGGTGCATAATGCACCATGAGATCTCTCTTAATGAAGATATAACATAAAATTCAGACAGCTTAAGAAAAAATACTGTTGGGAATAGGACCATCTGCTTGGTAAACATAAACACTACCTCATGATTTTAATATTCTGGTGTCAAGTGATTGATGGAAAATTCAAAGCAACCTTTTCACAGATGGTTAAAATCAACACAGAAGTAAATAAGGAGAATGAGACGTACATAAGCGAGTCCACCGTGTGACTTCAGCAGCTCTACCATGCTAAACTTTTTTGCACCCTCTGCATCAGCTAGAGGCTGTGAACAAAATCATAAAGTTCAAAAACAACTAAAACAGAACTATATCTATGTACGTAGTATCACGCCAGACAAAATCGCAGTTAATAAATCGCTGAGAAACCGCTCATTAATAAAGAAAGGATAGATCTCAACGAACACGCGGAAACAAACACAATCAGCACGAAAACACAAGCTCATGAACGATCTCAAACCGAACAAAATTCCGTTTAAATCGGGACACACTCACGGTATTTTTCCATCGGTCCTGAGCGTTAACATCCGCCTTGTATTCCAGAAGACAACTCGCCACATCCGACCACCCATGAATTGCGGCTACGTGGAGCGGAGTCCGGTTATCATAGTCGCGAGCATGCACCAGCGTCGGATCCTCCTCCAGAAGCCTCCGCACTGCTTTCGCGTCGTCCTGATGCGCGTGCCACAGAATCATTGACGTTCGGCTCACGCGCGCCTTCTCCTTCTTCTTTTCCTTGCCGGAGCTGCCATCGCTGCTGCTCATTGCTCGATCCGATGCGAATCAGTTTTCCGGTAGAGAGAATCCCCGCCACTGCAGGCCGGCGCGCGCGTCTTTGAATCCCAATGCTCAACGGAAAAATAACCGTCTCTTTTCGGCCAAACCGAAAGGTTCCAAATTAAATATTTTTTGTACAATCATTTTTTTTCATAAGATTATATATATATATATATATATATTTATCATCAAATAAGTTAAAATAGCTATAGCATTTTTTCTTTAATAAAAATGTTATATACTCTTTTTGAATAGATAATGTCATAATGGGGAAATATACATATATATATATATAGAAAAAATAAATAAATGAATTAACAAAACGTAACCCTACAATATATTGATCGAATCTCATTAAAAAAAATTTTATTTTAGATGAAATCACTGATATCTACGATTTATTCCAAGTAATTCACTGTTTAATTTATTTATTTATTTTATGGTCAATCTATTTTTTTTTCTCTATATCCCCTGTAAACGAAATGCCTTATGATTGTCGATACAAGTTGGGAATACAATTTTGCGGCTGCTGGAGTATTCAATTTGGTATATCCGAAGACAAGCAATACAGTTGACATTATTAAGTAAACAAGGTTTTTTGAAATTGTGATAACTACAAAAGAAGTCAAGGCCAAAATTTTCTCTATTTGATTTATTGCACACCGATTATTTAGACTCCATTTATTTATGTACATATTTTTATTTTTTTCAAAAAAATTAACAATATACAATGATTTTGTTATAAAAAGCCTCTAATAAATAATGTGGCACTAATGTGTCCACATACATTTTCTGACTGAAACAATTCATAAGCAATTGTCTTTTGTAATATTAGAGCTTACCTGGTGGGCAACAACCGCTGTGTATGCTATAACATGAACACAGATTGAATCATGAAACTAATAGTTTACACTTTTCAGACTTTTCGATTAAGAAAACAAATGATACAATATGGCAAAAACTATAAAAAGAACTTGTCCGTACGCAATGATTATGTTTTATCCAGTTATGTTTTCATTTTCTTTGTCGTCAAAGCACCTCTTGATTACAAAGGGAATTGAAACAAAATTAAACGACGGAGGAAGAATATTATAACTCTAATCTTAAATAAATCAAAATCACTAACAACAAAACTTACATGGAAAAATAGTATAACTTCCATGTACAAAGATGTTCATAACTTTTATAATACATCATAATGCAGTCACTAACATAATTAGATGCTTCAATGAGATAAAATTGAGTAGAAAAATAATAAACAAAGCTTCAGTAGTTACCGTGATGATTTGATCAAATCAACATCATAACTCAATCAACAAATATTTATAAAGAAAGTAACAAATATTAATATACTCCCGTCGTCCAGCAACAAGAGTTACATTTACTTTTTGTGTATTATTATATCTTAACGTAATACAAATCAAGAGAAAAAAGATAAAAAATACTTCTATTAGCATCTTATAATACAAATATAATAATATTTGTATAATAAATTATAAAAAAAATATTTTTAATATTAAGTATAATGACAAAGAAGTAAATGTAACTCTTGTTACCGGGCGGAGGGAGTAATATATAACACATATTATAATAACACGTTATATAATTACATATAACAAAATATATGTATTCTGATTTCAACACAATAATAATGACTCAACATATATATATAAAGAAAGCAATAAATATTAATTTAATATATATATATATAATAACACAACACTTATGTTATTTGCCTTGTCATAAAATACTAATTGTTTCAACTTATTGTTTTATGGCATTTGCTTAGTGCCAAATTGTTAATTTTCAAACTGATTTGCTAACTCGATCAAAACAGTACCGTGCTGATTTGACTTCGTTGGCACACTAACAGCCGCCAATAAACAAACATATACTACTATTTATATTTATGTATGATGACTTTTTGCACATGCCGTTCTGTTACATATTTTGACTGGACCTATTATGGAAGTAAAATACTTGTAATATGGACATACAGCAACTGCATAGACTAATAGACTAATATAAAAAAATAGAACATCAATTGAAAATAAATATTAAAATTATAACAAACTCCGTGAACAAGGTTGGAGTCAATAGTATGTGGTTAATTACAACATATGAAGCTGCTTTGTTTTTTGCAGGTAAAGCATATCCTGACATAAGAAATTCTTAACAAAATCTATTCTACTATAAATGGTATTTTTAATATTTTACAAAATTCATGCATCACACAATTATTTCTAGACAAGAATTGGTTAATATCACAAGGGTATAGTTCCAAAATTCACCATAATTAATCCACCACGTAATTTCATGTGAAGCCTTTACAGAAATTGCCAAAAAGATCATATCAGCATTCACAACTTGCTCTACTAGATGAAGTGGTCCAAGGACCCCTGTTGGAGTAGGGGTGGGGTGGGGTGGTGTGGTGTGGGGGTGTCTATTTTAAAGTATATGAAGGTAAACATGATTCCCAAGAACATAATTTGTAGAAGTTTGACCTTATTATGCAAATATAGTTCACAAAAGGGCGGAATTCAGTAACAGCTATGCATGTGAGAGCTCTAAGGGGAAACAATGATCACAAATGGCAATCAAGATTCACAAATAAAAACCAAAAAATGCCGTAAACGAAGGAAGTCATACCTTCATGAGAAGTTCAAGCAAGCAAGCGTCGTCCCCCGCAATTTCAAGACATAATATTCAACAAATTCACATAATGTCAGCTGCATGTGTATTGAAATTCAAGTCTGAAAATTTTAAGCTGTAATAAGGCAATCTACAATACCCTTAACATAAAAGTCAAACAATCAAATTCTGTACAATACAAAAAGGCTGCCACAGAAAGCCTTAATTTTGACAGAAAACAATTCAAGCCCACATAGTTATCTCCGTATTTATCAGAAGCAAAATATCAAGCCAAATCATATACCACAGACCATCCACAAAGATAAGGGTTGGGAAATTTCAACCTATGTTACCACTAATCTAAGTGATAAAAATGTGGGTGAATTTGGTTCCGCAGTGAAAAAAAGATCGGTAATATTACAATAAACAGAAGGTCAGAACTCATACCATTGTGTGGTCGCACTGCTATTCATTTTGAGAAGCAACAGATTCATTAGAAACAGGACTTCTACCGACAGTTGCTTGATCCAAATCTTGATTCGGGAACACTTCTGACTGTAGAGATGGGAAAATCTTATTGACATGCAACCATGTTTGTTCCCACACGTTATCTCCACCAAGGGTACTAGTTGGGACAAGCACTCCCTTTGCTTTCATGACAATAAGAATGTTCTTAAGAAGCTCGGGAACTAATTCCTGAAGCTTCTCACCCCTTTTAACCTTGAGCTTCATATACTTCTCCATTCTGCCAATCACATTACGCCACAATTTGCAGAAGCTTGATAGTTGTGAGAGCTCATTGAGTAAATGTAAAAACACTTTGGTGAGCAGCTTTAGGGCATGAACAAGTGTCCCTTCTATGTTCCGATACTCTTTCTGTGTTTGGGCATTCCCCTGTGCAATCTCGGCCAAATCATCAAGCATTGTGAATATGACCATTTCAAAACACTGCGGCCAAAAGCCAAGTGGGAGACAAATCTCGTCTACTCCTGTTAAGCACCTCTGCAATGATAGAAGAGCATGGTTTCTAACTTCTTCTCTCTGGTCCAGACAAACCTTCCTCAAACCTTGGACAAGCCTCAGCCACATCTCTCCGATATCCTGACACAGTTTTGCAGCTTCTGATTCTGACATAGCTTCCCTAGCATCTTGGGCCCACCGTACCAAACACGAGACAGACCCTGCCATAAGATCCACAGCATGGACTGATCTATCAGCCTGTCCAACCCGAGATTCTGCAAACTGTCGTGCTGCATCTACACAAAGTATGAAGTTAGCTGGGGAGAGGTGAGCACCATCGGCCATTATGAATGAGAGAGCTTCAAATCCTGATTCAGATGCGTCTGGATGTCTAGCTGTGATAGAAAGTAAAGAAGCAATGGTTCGCCAGCCCATTGGAGACTGAATATGGGTAGCATTTGCTTTTACCAGGCGACTAACCTCCTGAGTGATCTGCTCGCAGTATTGGTCAGCAACTCGAGCATCCAGCTTAAGAACCAGTTGTAGTGATCTCAAAAGCTCATCAGCTAAGTTCTCTTTATAGGGAAGCAGTCGCTGGCAAATACGAAGTAGCCCGAAAACTGCCTTCTCAACTAAGGCACAGGCCACTACCGTTGATTGAACTATATTAGCTATGTGCTCATAAACACCTTGCCAAAGAAGCCCAATCCTGTCACGGTTGTTCAATGTGATTGCAATTAGAAGTTCCAAGCAGAATACTGCTGTATCCTCATCCTCGGGTGAGGTATTTCCTTTCTGTGGTCGGCCAGCAGCCCATATGAGTGCCCGAGCTAGCTGTAACAATGAATCAGCATGCAAGAACTTGCTTTCAGTAAAAATACTGTCAATATGGCATTTTTGAATTGTTTGCAGTGTGCGCTGATGAGCAGCCAGTTGTTGCTCAGTAGGCTGGGATCTCGGCTCCTCAGTATCTAGAGACAGAAGTTGGCTGAATCTGCCCATTAGTCCAGAAGATCGCCTAGGGGTACCAATAGTTTGCATCTGAGCCGAAGACAATGAGTTTGTAAGAGGCTTTCCATGTCCAGCATCAACTGCCATTTCTGAATCATCAGCGGCATCACTGGCCACCCGAGCAGGTAAAAGTCCAAGTTTGTGCAATCTTAAGATGCAATCCAAAATATTTCTCCATCCAGTGCGAATAAAGTCTCCATACCTATTTGCAATAGTGAAAACAGTAACAGTTGCCATTCTAGCTTTTGCATCATCTCCAAAGGCAAGAACAGGTTCCTCAACGGATGCCGGATTCAAAAGAGTTGTGAACTTGCATAGAGATACTACAAGATCATCCAGGACATCTTCAAGATGATGGCATGCAGATATCTTGGCAACAGCCAAAAACCCATCAATACATGTTTGGTATACATCCTTATCTGCATGATCAAATACCACAGAAATTGCAGCAATTGTTGGACCAGACATGATTGCAAACATGTCATGGTCAAGGTAAGCTCTGGAATCAGCAACAATGTATGGAGGAGTCTTTTTAGACTTGTGCATTAAATCAATCCACCGACTAGGAGTCATTTCAGCAAAACCAGCTCCTTGTTCAGGTGTAGTGCGAATCTCATTCTTACAGATTGAGTAATAAAGCTCTGAAAGAAATTCACGAGGGAGATCATTACCTCCATTAATGTGCCGATTATTCCTGATGAAATCCTCTTCAGTCATCTTTTTCTTGACCTGAACATTATGCTGGTCTGTGTTGAGCATTATGAGAGAATATGACAACAAAAGAGCAGCATCTTTATTAGCTAAAATCTGTGGCGATTGCTCATAATATCTTTCTGAGAATGCCTCAAGTACCCTCTGTATCTTCTGTGATTCTCCAGGAAGACGGAAAGTCTCCAAAAAAAGCCTCAATGCAGTATCCAGGTTCATATCCTGAAAATCAAAGGTTCCCGCAAACTCATGGAGTACCTGAACACAAAATTCATCATGATTTCCAAGAAAATCTCCGACAAGATTTTTATCTAGTCCAGCAGTATAGCGGAAAAAGCAAGCCACACTCTGAGGATCAAGTTTCTCAGGCAACAAATGGGTTCCTTGAAGAAATTCCAACCCCTTCTTAGGATCCCGATTGAAGTGATCAGCTCCAATCATCAACCTTCTTTTTATGTACTTCCTTCTGCGAACAAAAGGGACCCAATAATCAGGATCACCATAGTTCTCACACTTCACCATCCAGAATGGAGTATACTCCTCAAGATGCACAGGATTTGGTTCAAAACCAACAGATCCATTTCCTATCCTTTCAGCCATTCCCTGAATCACAGCAATCAGACCATCTAAAGCAAGGATATGCATGCTGGACAATGGGCAATTAACTGGAAAGGCACTCTTTGACAGTAAATTAGCAAGATCTTCAAACACATTTCCACATGTAATATCACAATCTAAATTAGCATATATTTCTACCATAAAATCCTTTTGCCGGCAGAAATCAACTAGAGCTTCCATTGCAACCTCTTGCTGTTGGTAAGAAGCTTCAAATCGACTTTGAGCAAGTCTCAAGATCACACAGGAAAAGAAAGCTTCAAGTTGAAGCTTCAGCTCAGTGCGCAAACGCCGGTACAGATTAAGAACAATGCTACAAACCATAGTGAGAATCAAGGGACTTGCTGAAAGCCCAAACTGCATAAGGTTACGAAATAATTCATCTTGTACCAAACTCAACAATCTAGGATGATGTCGGATAGCGGGACCACCTAATTCAATTGCTGAGTTAATCAATCCTAATGCAAAAAGGGGTACATCTTCATCAAATGTAATAGAATTTGCTCTGCCACCCACCCCAGTATGCTCAACAACGTTTAGCAGTGAACAGAGAAAGTGAAATATTTCAACCATGCAAGAAACACCATATGGTTCTGTCATTAAATGCAAGTCATACGGAACTGAATCCTTCCCATTGCCAGTAAGGCCAATACTTTCATCCATCACACCACCAATGAGGCCTGATGAAGCAGAATTGAAACCTCCAGATGAGAGTTGACCATCATATTCAGAAGCTCCAGTACCATTCTCTGATATGCTATTGAAGCTATAATCAGGATTGAGTCCACCGGACTGCAAATTTTGGAAAAAGGTTTAGTTTCAAAGCGTAAACATGAAAAGATCAAAGAACCTAACTGCTATAGGAAAATTAAATTTCACTTATCTATGATGGATTTATTAATGTCAAAACACCCACAGCACACTAAACCTGAAAACCCATCCAGAAGAATGAAGAAAGCAAAACTTCTAGAAAATAACAACCCTGATGAATAACAAATAATAAGCAGTTATATACCTCATTTTTTATAGACATCACTCCTTTGACCAGTGACTGCTCAGTGTTGTCAACATTTGGCAGGTGTGAAAAAATGCATCTAATAAGTTCATGCATCGTATGACGAGCTATCCTCTGTAACAGTTCACCTTTAGTCCCAGCTTGGTGAACAATTCGGAAACAAGTGTTTACAATGGTACAAACATGCTGATTACTTAGCATAACAGATGCTTTACTTTTCATACAAGCCAAAAGAACCTGAAGTATCTTTGTCAATACGACTTCTTCTGATGCAGGGTCAGTTACCTCAAATCTGCAGCTGGTAACTGCGTCAACCACCATGTGTACAGCTTCTTCAACATTGATAGTGTTTACCTCAAGCACGTCAAGTGTCAAAATCTTGTAAACTGAAGACAATGCAACACCAGTAATTGGAGCTCCTGTTTCATCAGATCGGATTACATCAAGAAATGGTTGGAGATACAAAACAGGATTTACTGATTGCCAATCATTTTGCCATGAAAATATCTGTCTTCTCAATGCTTTAAGAGACTGAATTAGAGAGTGCTCCAACTGATCATCACCAGACACATAACGGCCTCCCCACCTTACATTCCTCCGCATGACAGCCAGCACTGCTCCAATCTCTGAATTAATCATACATTCAACAGCAGCCTTATCAGAAGAGGTAGCCTCACAGTCTTCAGGTTCCTCTTCAATTGCCTTGATACTAGATTGTGTCCTTAATCGCCCCATCACTACTTACAGAAACGATGATTGGAAACTGTAACTTGTTGTCTAGGAGAATGACCATTCAAAGAGCACCTATTAAATCGCGATTCCAGAGATTCTACAGTTATGACAAGGTAGCAACTCAGTGTTAAACAAATCATAAAATCGTGCTGTTAGCTTATGCAGCATATTAGATTTTCAAACAGAGAAGCTAACTTTACTAATCAAGTATACATATATTATTGAGGAGCACTTATCACTATCGTACGACCGAAATCAAACATTATTTAATCCTCCATCGCCTACAAGTGTGAGTTTCTACAGAAGACATCGAGTTGACCATTTACTACCCCAACAAATTTTTTAACATCCTTGGAATAGATGGCGCATTTAGATGGGAATATAAACAAGAAATTACATAAAATGTACAAACAACAAAGGACCATTTCCTCAATAACTCAAGGGAGTACTTAATCCAATAACAATGCAAGATGCTGCAAGTAATTTCAGAGAACGACCGAAACTAACTGAATAAATCAGTTGCCATATACCGATCCACTTCCATGAATTATTTTTAAGATGGAAATTAAAACAAATGTTTAGCCATTCGAAGCACAAATGCGACGAAGAAGCTGGAATTCAGTTACTAAGACTGGGAAACTCTTCAATTTCCAGTTCAAATCAAAGCTTATAATTCTATTGGTTTCTGAATCACATATGAACCATAAAAACCAGCTATCTTAGTTGCATCCTTCGACTTTCGCCCAATTTTTTCTCACATTTTGAAATTCGAGCCAAATTTATTAATCACCTTAGTTGCCTAAACTCACAACGACCAAAGGAAGAAGGTTCGAAACAAAGTCGCACGAACTTTACCCGATTCGGCGAAAGCAGCGCGCTCGAATCCCGGTAGCGGCGACCAGTGCCGGTGTGCGAGGACCGATTCCGTGTGGAGCCGGTAGAAGATCGCTGAGAGCTATGCTAGGGTTGAAGTGAAGAGAAACTCCATTTTCATTTCGGACGAAAGGATCAAAGAACCGAAATAATAGCGATCAAACCCCCAAATCCAACTCGATACGCGCAGTGTCAATTGTGTAAATACCATGACACAGTAGGGGCAATTCTGGTATTATGTAGCCAATCAGAGTCTCCATTGGAATTGATCATTTAGGAAGTAGAAAAAAATAATAATAAATAAATAAATAAATAATTTTAATTTGTTTCTAATCTCGATTATTGAGTGACACTAATTTTAATACCAACATTTTGTGCAATTCCATCGTATCGGTATTGTTCTGCTGCTGGTCTCCGTGGCTGCTACGTAGGAGAAATAAATTTTTATATTTATTAGTATATGATTATTTTAGTGTGGTGGTAAGTTTAGAGTTATTATACAAGGGACAATATTCAGTTTCATTGTTTAGCTTTATTTGAAATAATTTAATTAATTTTAAATGACAATATTGTATAATTGCTTCAATTGTAAATAAAATTGTCCCATATGACCTCATGGTATTGGATGTATTGGTGACAGGAAAATCATGAATTTAAACTTTTGGATTCTGATCTTTTAAAAAAATATATAAATAAAATTATCCAAAATTGAAATTTTAAAGGTATGATCACTAGGATTACAAAATACAAAAGAAAATATAATTATCAGAATTAGAAAATATATTTAGATATTATTTTGAATTGTATATCAACTTTTTTTTTTTTTTTTTAATGGTAATATCTACTATTGATTAGTACAACAATTCAACACATTTTGTACTAATCAATAAATTTATTTTTTGAATTTAACAAATTTCAGAAACAATTAAGCAAGGTTCTTTTATGTGACAATGCAAATTCATTCATTAATTCATCAAGATAAACCTTCGTGAAAAATATAAGATGATTCAATATACTTAGGACTATATAATTTAGTAGATTTGTCATGTAAGAGCACACATAATGGCTTTTCTATAAGAGCATTTCTCCTCATTTTCGAAGGCTTTTTTTATCGTTCATTGATAAAAATTCATCCATAGTGGTGCAATTTTTGAATTGTATATTTTTAATTGAAAATTGAATATGTCCCGTGGAATCGAGGCACAAGTGACGGACATCTCTTTTTTCGTTTTTTTTTTCACAGTTTCTTCATTGCTTCCCTCTCTTTGCATTTTTGTCTTCTCTTCTTCTCCAAATTCATCTCACTTTTTTATTATTCCGTAAAGAATAATCTGATGATATAGGGAATGAATTTATAACCGTTAAATCATAGATTGAAATTCAGCATTAGATTCGGCCGGGAGTTTATTTTCTAAAAATTAAAAGAACACATTATATATATATATATATATTCGTAACTTGTTTTCTTTATATAATTTCTCAAATTGTTTATAACACAAATATCGCATCCAACTAATGCAAATTCACAATAAACAAAACCACATCAAAAGAGAGCTTAATTCTCTCTGTATATATCATAGGATCTCTCTTCACTTCGTCAAATTTATTATCACTTTTCTTTTTAATCTGTTCACAAATTTATCTAATTACTAATTTTGGCAAAGCCACCAAATCAACATTTAATTATTACATTTAATTCAACACTTATTTACAACAAATACCACTAACTTTATTACATTCTTTTTTTCATTTACTTTATTTTTTAACTAAATTTTTAAAAATACAACTATCTATCACTTTTTCAATAAAATATTCATTTTTTTTAATTCTCGTGTTGAGCCCAAATAAATTAATTTTAGTGGCAGGAGTGAGTACTACTTAAAATTAATGTCGCATTTTACGTTTAGCGACTTATCTTACTCGGACAACAGGAACCCTGCGTCGACCCGCTATAGCCTCTTTCATTCGCGCCATCTCAACCAAAAGCTCTTCTATTTTCTGCAACACACAACCACTTATCACTGCAACATTACAAAATCGCCGCAAACTATAGCAGTTACTGATATATTCAATCTCAGTACAAAATGTATTTTTTATTTAAATTAAATATTAATTAATATAATATTATATTGGTTAATTTTAATATAAAATAAAAATTTTTGAAAAATACTAGTAAATGAATGAAACAAGGAAAAGTTTTTCGATAAATTGAATAGATAATTTTTTTTATATATTATATTTAAAAATGATCTTAATATTAAAAAATATAAATTTTAAAATATTTTATTATTTTATTATAAATAAAAAATATATATATGTAAAAAAACAGATATAAATTTGATAAATCATTCTTCTTCTATTTTTTAACGAATTATCTATTTTCTATTTTGTTAGTCTCATAATAAAAAATATCTATTTCTATTTTTAATAAATACTAATATTACAAATATTTTTTCAATTTATAATATATAATATATTACACAAATTTTTATAATTTATAATATTAATTTAGTTATTTTACTTTTATTTTTATTACATATAAATATAATAATAATATTTAAATAAATAGATAAATATGAGATGGACCAAGTATTTCGTGTTAGTTGTTAAGAAGTTCAAACCTTGTCTTTTTCTTTTACAAGAGCTAAAAGGCTCTTGTTGCTGCTTTCCAACTCCACTCGTCTCCGCCGCCACGTCATCACTCGTTTCCGCCGCCGCAGACACAAAACCACCAACACCGCCGCCGCAACTCCACCCGCGGCGCAAGCAGCCGACAAGTATCCGACTTTATTCCAACCGACATATTCCCTAAACCTGCCGGCAATGATTCCCAGAATCCCATCGCCAAAACGCGCCCTTCTCGATCCATCATCATCACCGTCGGATTGCGAAGGTGGATTAACCAACGGCTCCGATTTAATATCAGCCTGCCGAGGATTAATAGGCAAGTCCTCGTGCTTTCCCGGCGGTAAAGCCGCCGACGATTCGCCGTAGAAGTCGTCTTTAACGGCCACCGCCGGTGACTCTTCGTCGTTGCTGAAAAATTTAGCTGTGACGGCAGAAAATGGAGACTGAACATCTTCCCATCCGGGCAGCTCTTCAGAAACACGGTCAGTTTCCATAGGTATTTGAAGATGTATCCATTCAGTTCATCGTTATCTTTACTATGAGGTTATGATTGGACAGGCGAATTAAAAGATCTCCATGTCGGGATATTTTTCCTGGCAATTATAAATATCTTCCGACAGGTGGAAAGAGCAAAAACATGTCAGCAGAATGAAGCCCAGCAGGTATGTATCCATGGTGAAAGTGATGCCATGGATGAAATAGTTAATCAAGAATCTAATCAACGGTCAGATTTGATTCGGGACTTGGAGTCCCGGGTTCTTGGAAGAGTTTCACCTGGAGTGCGAACTTGATTAATGGCATATGGGCTGGATAGGTCACTAAAATACATACAAATGGTTTGCCAGTCTACGTCTTCGATCAGAGGTGTCGAGCCCCTTCGAATCGTGGAAAATCGGCTCCAAAATTCGTGTGAAGAATTCCTGAAATTGGTGTATTCTTTGCCTTCTTCACACTCTTAATCTTCGATTCTTCTCTGTTTGTTCGCTTTTTTTGTGCTTTTTGTCGCTAGCTGGAGCGTGATCTCAATTCATTTGTTACGAGCTCTGTTTCGGTGAGGGCTTCGTGCTGCGATAGTCCTATTCGCAGATTCTGAATCGTTGCTAGACAGATTATCGTGTTTCTATGGGTGAATTCAATTTGTATTTCCTGGTCGTTGCCGGAATTTGATATTGGGAAGGGTATTGTGGATTCGGCGTACAGTGTCCTGGTTTCCGGAGGTGTGTATGTATGAGTCCTTCGTGTTTGATTTAGATCTGAGTGTCATATCCCCCAAAATTTTATTGATACTGAGATTGGAATGCGATGGATTTCGTGACATCGATTCGGTTCGTTTGATTAATCTCAGTCGGTGGTCTTTGTTGGGGAGAGTAGAATTGTTGAAAATGGAATCACCGAGCGGGATGCGACTCAACTCGAATGCATTCAATCGAGAGATAGACGAGGGAAGCAAACGGTTGGAGATTGAACATTTCGAACTAGAGACGTCTGGGCATGATATTCCCTCTGATCACCATTTTCATTCCATGAGTGCTCTAGAAATTTTGAGGGAAACCGTCAGGATTCTCCGGTACAATTCATCAGGGTTTATGGCAATTGCTGCAGTGTTAATTTGTCCTGTTTCAGCTGTATTTCTGACCAATGTCTTGGTTGATCAATCTCTAGTGAAGAGGCTGACATTGAGGCTGTTGCTAGTTGCAAAATCCGGCGGACTTCCTCTAAAGCCCTTTGTCAAACAATCGTGTCTGAAATTGTCGGAGACATTTGTTTCATTTGGAATGTGCTTCCCATTGTTCATTACATTGTTACTTTTGTCGAAGGCTGCCGTGGTTCATTCAGTCGACTGTAGTTACTCAAGGAAGAAGTTCGATGCATCCAAGTGTTACGCTGTTATTCTGAAGGTATGGAGGCGGATTGTGTACACATATTTGTGGGCTAGTTTGACGATCTCTGGTTGCGTCACTCTGTTCCTCGTCTTCCTCATCATAATCAGCGCCATTGTATCAATCTTGGGGTTCCCAGAGGACTTGATTATCTATCCTGCTGTGGCAGCAGGATTGATATTCTCCATCATCATAGGAAATGCTGTTATTATTTGCAACACTGCTGTTGTGATATCTGTTCTTGAGGATGTCTCGGGGCCAACAGCATTGCTAAGGTCTAGTTTGCTGATTAGGGGACAGACCCAAGTTGGGCTCTTGATATTCCTTGGATCGACACTAGGAATGGCGCTCATAGAAGGGCTTTTTGAGCATCGGGTAAAGACACTCAGCTACGGAGATGGCTCTTCCAGGATATGGGAAGGGCCTCTTCTCGTGGTGATGTATTCGTTCATTGTGCTGATCGACTCAATGATGAGTGCAGTTTTCTACTTCAGCTGTAAATCATACCGTCTAGAATCTGCATATGAAGAAAGGGAAAGCGAAACCGCCTTGGAAGCCTAGACTATTCAATCAGACCCACCATTATCATCAAGATACCGTTCATGGCGTAGGAAGAATTCTACAGGAAGGATCACAAACCTACGTTGCTTATGCAGTTTTGCAGAGGGACCAATATAAAGTACTCAGCCAGTTTATCAATAAGTTCGATATACCTGAGGAAGGCAGCAGCTGGATCTTTCCTGAAGATTGTAATTTCTACAACTATACTTTCTACCAAAAGTTTTGTGAAAGTAATGTCACACTCCTGATTTCAATTCCTCTCTTCAATAGAGTTTCAATTGAATTTTACTCTTTGTTTCTCTGTGCAATAGTTGATCTTTTTACTGCGGTAACTCCCGATAGATTCTAGAATACACTCCTGTGAGTCAGATGCAATATGAATCCATTGCAAAGAAAACTATACAGCGTGTTTGAATGGATAGGTATTAGGTAGGACTGAGTGAAGTTTCTACTTATCATCTATAAAAAATAAATGAAGATAGCTATTGCTGTTGACCCAAAACTTGGACCTTTTCCATCTTACTAAACACTAAATTTTCTGCAACCTTTACTTCTTTAAATCTAGCCTTAATTCTTCTCTGATTCCAATCTTTTACAGGGTTCCTAATCTTCTTTAACCATGTCAGCCAGTAAGCCAACCCTCTGGGGATTATTATCTGACACTTATGTTGTGATTAGATCTCATTTCCTCCATTTTCTGGTCCTAGCAGCCTTCTTCATCTTCCCCAGCTCCATTCTATCCATCATTTACCCCCTTTTTGTGCCCCAAGCTCCATCTAATCTCAGTTTGCATCAATCCCTCTTGTTCACTACCCCTTCAGAGCTTCATGATGAGATCCCTCCAACTGGTGACTTCCAGTTCCTTATTCCATTTCTTTTTGGGCTTGTTGAAACACTCTTCTATCTATGTGCTATAGCTTCTATCACCTACAGCACTTTTGGTAGCTTAAACGGCAAGCCCTTGAAGCTTATTCTTTCACTGAAATCAGTTCTGGTTTCATTCCTCCCTCTTCTTGCAACCACCGTTGTTCTTCAATTAATTTATGTATTGATAGTTATTGCTTTTGTTATTCTTGCCTTATTGTCGTACAATGCGATTTCACTGATGGGATTCGTCATGGACTATGACACTGGATATTTTCTTGCCTTTGTTATGTTGCTGTCTGCTCTGCTTGTCTTGGCAATACTTTACTTGCAGGTGAAGTGGTTTCTTGCAACAGTCGTCGTGGTACTGGAATCCAAATGGGGTTTCGAGCCATTGAAAAGAAGCACATATTTGGTGAAGGGGATGAAAGGGATGGTGCTTTCGACGATTTTAGTGCTTGCAACTCCTAGTTTTCTGCTGTCATTTGGTTTCTACAGATTGATAACCTCCATGAGTGCAGGTGGAATCAGTTGGAGCTATGCAGTGTTGGCTACTCTCTTTTCAGTCATTGCAACTATGTTGCAACTATTTGATGTGGCTGCAATAACAGTTATGTATGCTTATTGCAAAGCTTGGCATGGCGAAGACACATCTATGATCGACGAGGAATTGGGAATGGGCTACGCTAAACTGTCTGCCAATTGATCGAAAGCTACTTATCCTGTCAATGTTGTAAAAATTTGAGTACTTTGTGATCTTGTAATATTACTACCCTGTTGCTCTTTTTGCTGTTAAATAGCCTGTCCGAAAGCCTCTGTTTGTGATACGGAAATAAAAGATGTTTGAAGTGGTGAGGTTTGAGTAATTTGGTTCTCTCTATGCTTTTCTTTGTAAAGTATGTTGGAATTTCTCAGGAATTACACTATACGGAATTCAGATAAAATAAAATAAAATTAATAAATCTAATATGATTTTATTAGCTTTAATTCAAATTTACAAATTAATTGAGGATTTTGTATTATTTAAATTTATAAGACAATCAAAATGGGTAAAATTTCTGCCGTTATTTTATGAATTTAGGGTTTAAATTTGAATTAAAATCTTAATATATATCACTTATTATTAAGATATTGTTTATGTAATAAGAGATTCGCCTTTACTTCAATACATTTAAACCCATCAAATATTAATAGATAAAATATAATAAAATTTCCAGTAGATAAAATATAATAAAATTTCCAGGCAGAACTTGTAGCCACGAAATGATAGGTACAAATCCACCTCCCACACATAGTTAGCTATGTTCAAACTGGCGAGGCTTCCAGGTCTACCTTTCGCACATAATTAGCCTTGTGTGCCTTATTTTTGCAGAATATGAAATTTGATCAGAGATTAATCCAATACACACTTTCGATAACAGTTGCCGATTTCCACCAAATTAAAATAATAAGGTAGAATCAAGCTGAGGTATCAAATATCAATCCTTAGTCCACATAAATTTACAGGACAAGAGACCACAGGAAATGGTAACAAGTGACACCAGATTTCAGACATGCCAAAGATCGTTAAAGTTACAAAAGCCAGTCCACAAAAGAATCACCAACCAGCCAAAGTAGAGCTTCGCAATCCTTCCTAATCAACGTCGGAATCCCGAAAAACATCGCAACAAATGAAAAAATCCCGAGAATCTAGCTTCAATGCTTCCTATAGCTCGACGACGATGATGCAAACGGCGGAATGGATCTTGAGATCGTTCTATCCGCCTCGGCGCCAAATAACAGGTTACTCCAGTTACTCGATCTGTGCAGAATTCTCGTCGGTATCTGATCGCTATCTTCCCCGCCCGACGCTTCGTATCCGTCACTAGTCGATCTTGATAAAGGAATGTCCTGTGCAGGAGGACCTGACAGCCCGACGAATCTACTTGCTTCGTCGGTTCTCAACGACGAGACGCAAACGTCGGGAGAATCCAAGCTACTCTCGGGCGACGACGGAATGATCCCGCCCAAAACCGGGACGCCTCGGCTTGCTCCGAAAGTGCTCGACGATGTCCCGGTGACGATACGACGATCGATACCGTTTTGTGGGTCTAAGTTCGGGAGCGTCGACAGAGGCACATCCGCGGGTAGGCGAATCCGCCTGCTCCAACGTTTTTTATTGCTGTCGGGCCTCGCGCTTATCCTCCGACTGCTGCTGCCGAAACTGCTGTCCGTTTCGTGGCTTTCGATGTTGTAAGAAGGTTCATGCCTCGCGACTGGGCGTAAGATCTTCGACTTCTTTCTCGCCTCCGCAGCAGCCTTCGAGACATCCTCGGTGTTCAGACGCGCCAACATCCACGGGCTGATCTTTACCGCTGCGGGATTCTTCTTCTTCATTTGTTCGTCGACAGCTGACCGTTTCCCGCGTGAGCTAACCGAGCCGTTGTCAGGAGGTACGACATCAAACTGCAAGACACGACAACCCTGTATTCAGACATCGAGAAAAAAACAAATTGGCGAAATGTACGATCTGTCTACCTGATCTTCGACAAACAAACGCGGCGGCGTGCACCACGCTCCGCGATGAAACGTGTTGAAAGAACTCGCGCTGCTTAATCCGGTGATGGAGCTAACCGGCGACATCTGAGGACTTTGCTGACATCCGGCACCTTGTTGCTCTTGTTCCCTAAGTGCTATAATGTAATCGTACGTGCTGATTCCCTGTCGTAATGTTTATTTTCTTCTTCATAACGATTCATTCCTATATATCGAATCAACGAAAAATTTACAGGCAAACAATACTGCAACTAACCTTCTTGATCAGAAGTATATGGAAGAAGAAGAGCTGACAGAGAGGCAGAGTCGCGATCATGGCCAAAATGGTACACACTGCCTGTGACAATCGAAAAATTATCGTTTTACCGAAGCAGCACAAATCCAAGTTACGTTAATCAACGAGGAAGACGATACTCACAACGACGATCACAAAAGGAACGATCGTGAAACTGCTGCCTAATTTCGAGCTTATATCGGTCTCAAATTGCTTCCTCTCAAGAAAACATAGGATAAGCACGAGGATCCCGGTCGACCATTGAATTATAAGCTGTAATCTCAAGTTAATTGTACACAAACGACGTATTAACCGGGTCGAATCGTATTGTAGAGGATGACATTTGTTTGGGCTTACCAAGAGAAGAGCAGAAACCATGAGTGTAAAAAACTTTCGATAGTTCCGTCTACCGATGCAATTGTTCAGCCACTGCAAAACACATTTACAAAGGATGAGAATCATCTTAGAGACGAACAACAAAAGATCGATTAACATAAATCATTACATACCCTGCAATGATGATCGAAACGATCGACACACTTGTCGCATACCCTACAATGCTTGCTGTACTTATACACCTGCAAAAATGGCTTCTTGATCTACGATCGAATTCAGAACTCCATAATCTATAAAGATGCATCAACAAACCTCAACTTCACATAAACTACAGTAGAACATCCCGTCTTCACTATGCTGATCGGATGCCTCGTCGTGCGAGTCGCAAATGTAGGCACAAGGCAGCAACGCGACCATGGCCGGAAAACATGTTCGTTTGTGCGACGACGGGTTATTCTTTTCGGGTTCGTCCCTACATTCGATTGCTGATTCGGTATCTCCTCTTCCTTTACCATTAGCCCCCTCTTCGTTCGCTGATTCTCCACCACATTTCGCCATATTAATTTTACTACGCTCCTCGCCAGCTCCAATTTTAGCGTATTTCTTCGATTTGAATACTCCAGGATCCGCCGGATCAGAAGCAGCACACCAAATGTAAAGACCAAAGGCACTTACAAGCTGTGGAAACAGCAATAGTAGGATAAAATTACAGAGGTAAATATTGCATTCACAAGTCACTTATTTACCCATCAATTCAGAGATTGGGTAAATATTATCAAGAACTAGAAACATAACATCTGTTCTACATTCCAAAACAAATTTATCAAATTTCTAGTTAAAAATTCCCATAGAAGTCTCAATCTCCTTAACAAAGACTGTAATTGCAGATGTGGTTTAAAGAAGTCAAATTTCAAGATCTGATTAAAGCCCAGATTGATGTACGAAACAAGAGGGGTAAAAAAAAAATGTTATCTTTCGAAGAAGAATGGGGAATTTTCTAAGGATAAACTTGTGGCTCTATTTGTAAAGACTTGGAAGGTTAGAAGATAAGCCACATTTAGACATGGAATTGGAGAAGGAGACAGAGTAATAAAATGCAAGTAAAAGACACAAAATCATGGAGAATCAACAAGACAGTAAAATTGCAAAGCAGGGGAAATTAAAGAGGGGATGAATACTTAAGATAAGAGTGGAAATTGTGCTCACAAGAGGAGTATAAATCGCCATTACTATCCATTGGAACAGCTGCTTTCCCACAAAAGGAGCAAAGAAAACATAGAAAGCAAACCCCAATGCTAGAAACACAGCCACAGCTACCACCTGCACACATAAACATACAACATATATATATATATATATCGAGAGAGAGAGAGAGAGAGAGAGAGAGAGATGTGAAACAACAGATACCTGGAGTGGATGGTAAGGAAGCTCCCATCCGTGCTTTCTCATTTTGTTTGAGCTGATAGAAAGTTGCAAACAAGAAAATGCTTTGAAGATAAAATGGGGGCAAAGAATACAGAGAAAGAATGAACTTTGTTTGACTTCTTCCCAGCTCCACTCTCACTGCCAATTTCCCCCATTTTCAGGGCAGAATTGGGGCCAAGATTTTTCACTGTAGAAGCCGCCAGGGGAATCTCGCGAGCTCATTTCCATGGCGCCTGACCAGTAGTAATCCCAACAGACAAGAGAAAGAAAAGAGAGAGAGAAATGGAACACTGCCCCAAGAAAAGTTCAAACTAAAAAAAAAAAAAACCCTACAAATTGAGGGAATGGTGGATGGTGGGAACCTTTTTCTGGTTCACTCAACAATCCAAGTAAACCCTTTATTTGCTTGTTCAGAGTCAATCAATCACACCCCACCAAAGGACACGCAGATACACACATTGATGGTTTTGGCAGAGAGCAAATTGAAGAAAATGGGGGAGAAATTAAAATGGGGTTTGGCAGATAGATTGGAGAGGTTTTCTATATTCTTGATTCTTGAATGTTTTTCTCGAACAGGGGTTTGGTTGAATCGGGCCAAGATCTGTGTGTAAGCCGAGGAGGAACAGTAAGAGGAAGAGGAAGAAGAGAGGGAGAGGGAAAGGTCAGGGGCAGTGCTGGATGCGTAACATAATCTTGCTTTCTATGCCTGTAATTAATTACCTCGGGTCCTTGGCAACCTACCTTTCACTTTTCATATATATTTTTATATATAAATATTTATTTTTCTCACTCCTGTTTCTTTGCTTTGCCCTCTTTCCATCCGCCATGAAAGAAAATCAACATCATTCGCCACACAGGGACAGGGTCAGTGACAGGCCAGAGCTACTGCTCCCAGTTGTACCCAAACCCTTTTTAATCCTCTCTCTCTTTCTCTATTTCTCTCTCTTACTTTTTAACTGTTCGAGTAGCAGCAGCAGTCAGCAGATAGAGAGGGGAAGAGAAATTACCTCCCAAGAAGGAACGGGATAAGTAACATCTGCACCGTCCGATATTTGTGGTCACCACAGATCCAACGGTGGAGATTTATCTGGTGTTCGAGTCCCTGGAGTTCTCATGAATTGCGCCAAAACAGTGTCGCTTATCAGAAGAGGATCCGATCCACGCTGGTAGATAATAAATTAATTATGATTAAGATATATGAAATAATAAACCAAAATTTATAATTAGAAAAATAATCCAATATAGCTTCAAACATATATGAATTATTTTTTTATGTAATAAAAAATAATCGAGGAAGGACGTATTCTTTTGGCAGTTTCTTGTCAGATAACATCGTGCTCGGTGACTATGTTGATTTTAATTTTAATTTAATTTAATTTCCACCGCATCAAGTCAAAAGGCTATACTATTAAATATTCCTACATGTAATTTTTGTTTCCTTTATTGATTTAATTTATGCGTAACAAATTCCCATTGAATTAATTATGGCTATTCTTAAATTATTTATTAGCGTTACGTAAATAGAAATGACCATTAATTATTGGACATAAACATGTGACGTAGAAATAACTAATGTATTCACAGAGCCAAGAAATTCCCTTTGTTTGATTATTGCAGAGAGATTCGAGTTTCTGCGCTAAATTCCAAATGAAAAGACAAAATCGCCCCCCGCATTTCAATTCAATTTTGACAGTTCAGCGTATTTTGACTTGGCCTGTAGACAAGGGCAGAGATGGATTATTATAATTGCTACTTTCAAAATTGAAGTTTTTTTAATAGAATTTCTCATATAGTTTTTTGTGTTTTTGTTTTGATTTGTGTTTGAAATTTCAAATTTAAATAATGTTTTATTTAAAAATTACTATATATTTTTAGTGTCAAAAGTACGGCTACATAATGTATATTTTAATTTGAAATAAAAAACCAAACAAAGTATTATATATTTCCTCGCTTCACAGTCAATATAGTATTAATTTTTTTTATCATTTTTTATGGTTATAAATAATACAAATATATTTATATTTTATCTCAAATTGCTGATATGTTATAAATTTATTTTACAATATATTTGTTATGTTTGAAGGTATTTTAATTAAAATACTCTTATACACCATGCATTATATATAAAATTTAAATATTTTTTTTATTCAAATGTAGATGAATGGGTTACTATCACTATTTTGCATTTAGTTTGTCCTTTTTAGGCATGGAAAAAAAAAAGACATATGAAACATGGTCCATTGCTCATTATTTTACAATGAATGCACAATTTTTTTATCACTCTATGAATAACCTTGGCATGTGTTGTGGACATGTAATTATTATTATTATTACCATTATATTCTTAAAATGAGTGATTTTGTTATTTGTGTTATTATTGTTATTATTTTTTTGTGTTTTTGTATTTTTTTTATTATTATATTCCCTCTATCCCATAAATATAGTCTTAATTGAGTTAGACACGAGATTTAAGAAATATTGATATTATATTGGTAGTTGGTAAAAAATATTAATAAAATATTTTTTTTACTTTTGTGAGTGTATTAGTGTAAAAGTAGTGACAATTGTGTAATAAAAATGAAAAATTAGGGATAGTTTTACGATGATATGATTATTTATGGAAATAAGACTATTGTTTTGGAACGAACAAATATGGTAAAGAAAACTATTGTATTGGAACGGAAGGAGTATGTATTATGTATTAGTGAAGTATATATTTTTCAAAATATGAACATAAAAATAAAGGGGGTACTTGTATTGATTTGTAAGATTAATGACACACATTCAACAACTATAGAGGTGCTAAATTTATTACGGATTTATTTAATATTCTAAAATGAAAAGGCAAAATAATTCCAATATTATTATTGATTAGAACTTTATTGAAATTTTATATTGAGGGACCCATTTATTAAAACCCTCGAATGAGATTAATTAAGAGTGAAATTTACTATATTCGAAGGGAAACAAAGTATAAAAATCTCATATTCAATAAAATAAAAAATGAAAAATAATATATATATATATATAAATGCACCCAAATAAAATTTACATAATAATAAAGCACAAGGGTGGATATAATCCCACGCCAACTTTTTCTAAATATATAAATATATATTTAGAAATAAATATATAAACACTTTATTAAAAAAATATATTAATGAGTAAAATATATCACATAAATTTTATTCTTACAGAAAACAGTGTATATATACACAATTTTTAATAAAAAAATATATAAATTATACCATGAAATTTATACATAAAGTAGTGAATAGATTTTAAATTAAAACACATGTAAGTCAGACTTTTATTTAATTTTTAAAATTTTTATTTTTATTTTTCCCCATACAATACCACATACACATACATATACACATACACATGTGACTATACATTCATATTGCTTTTATTGCAACCTGCTCTCTATTCACCAACTCAATTTATTGCCATTTATTCTTGACTCATTTATAATTTCATATTTGATTTATATCTTATTTATTATGAATTTTCAAAACTGTGCAGAATACAGAAATTATTAAAAAGAAGAAAAGTGGAATAAAAATTATGATGCTTTACAATTGTGGTTGCTTCATTGACCTACACAATCATTTACCCAACAATTTTCTCTTTTCTTTTTTATTATAATTTTTTTTAAAATAATATTTAATTTATTTTTTATCCTCATCTTTTAACTATTCTTATTTGGCCTTTTGATTTATTGATTAATAAATTTTTTATATTTGTCCATTTTCGTCCCACTATTTGGAAGATGTCTTACAATAAATTATGGCCCAATGGGTTTGTTATTTTGCTTTTTATGGGTCTCTTTGACATGTCCACAGCCCATTCTAGGCCCAAATAATAATAGAGAAAAAAAAAAAAAAAAATCTTTAGTGGGACTATTTCTAATATATTTCCTATATATATATAAATATAATTGTTTACTTGCCCACTTACTTAATGACATAATAATGAGGTTAGTACCTAAAAAAATAAATAAATAAAAATCACAAATAATTGAGAAGAGAAAACATGAAGAAAGAAAAAGGAAGCACCATTAATCTATTTGTTAGTGCCTTATGGTCTAAATTTTGGGGGACAATTGGTTGTTTGGATACCATTTTTTATACACTTTTGATTATCATATATTTTTAAATTTCAATTATAAGATTTTTATTTTTTTGGTTATTCACCAAACACACACACAGACACAGTTCCATTCTTCTTTCTGTTCAATAACCAAATTTATGCTTCCATTGTGCCAATAATGACAAGGACTACTAAACCAATGCACTAACAATCCCTATCCCACCAAAAATAATACTAAAAGTTTCTGTCTTTTTGCAATATCCCAATCTCTTTATTTCAATATTTATTATATACTACAAGACAAGGATAAAAGAGGAGACTTTATATCTTCTTATTATTTTATTTTAATTTTTTGTCCTTTTGGATTGTATTCATATTATAAATCCATAACAACATATGTGCTTACTTGAATTTTAGATTATTTTGATGTACTATTATTCTTATTATTTTTATTTTTTTTTTAGTGGGAGTTCACTGTCACTTTGTAGGCTGAAAGATAAATTTTAATCAGAATGATTTCTTTTGAATTGATGATGGTTTGCAGTGTTTGATGTCACACCTAATTCTTCTTGATATATATATATATATATATACATATTGTGTTATTATTGTTAATTTTTTATTTAATAATGTAAGTATGTATTCTTCAAATAGGTAGGTAGAGAAGTGGAGAAAAAGAGCATCACATTAATTCAAACCATAAGTGCATTTTTGCTGCCCCAAACCAAACAATTCTTTACTAAAAACCCTAAAATAATAATAAAATAATAATAAAAAAGAAGTCTTAATTTTAATCTGATGATGTGGGATAAACTTGTAATAATTGTTAGGTCGTGTAATCGAAAAAAATTAATTTATTACTTTGTTATTATAAAAGATAGTAATTAAGCATTTTATAGTAAAAAAATTGGAAGCCATAATCTTCACTCCGTTTTTCTTTTTTTTTTTTTTTTTTTCAAGAATTTTTTGCAATTAGACTTGGGGGATTTTCGTTCTTTCTGCTCCACTTCATACACTTTCTTGTTGCATTAAGCTACTTGGTGCTTCAATCATTGGAAGCCCTTTTTTTGGTATTCTTATAATCATGGAAATGCTATTAAAATAATCACCCATTTCTTCTAACCCAGTTTACTTTTAGTTCTTAATATTAAAATTTTTTTAATGGGTTTCTTGGGTGATTCTGGTGGGTGTGTAGTGGTTATTTATTTAGTCAAAAATCAGGCCGTGTGTAATGGGTTCTTGAATGACCTTATTTTCTGCTATAAATGCACCTATCTTCAATTCCATTCGCTTTAATCTTATGGTTTGGTAATAAGCTTTGAAGCCTGTCTGATCACTTCGTATCGTCTTTTCCATTTTTAAGGTATCTGGAAAATCGAATCGCTAAATATTCAATTTATCTGCAAGATTGGTGTTTTCTTCGTTTTAGTAATAATTCTTGAATTCTTGAATTTTATTACATGTCTCTGTAATTAATAATTTCGACATCCATTTGAATGTTTGTGTATGTGTATTATGGTATTATCAGATTCTTGATTTTTATGGCTGTTGCAGATGATCTTCGACGCCATTAAGGTTGCTGTTTAGCTGTCGATCGATAATGGGAGGGTGTGTCTCGAGGCCAAACAAGAAGCTAAAAGCTAAGGCTAAGTGCTTCTACAAATCGTGCCACCTTCGCCGGAGAATCGCCCCCTCGAGCCCATTTGCAGCCCCTCCCGACATTCGATTTTCTTGCCAAGAACACGTGTCCGAACAAAGCCAGTCAGGTCTGTTGGTTAATTCTATTATAAATAAATAAATAATTTGTATCTCTTTAAATTAAATTATTTTTTTATTTATTTATTTTTTTAAGTAAAATGATCATTTAACAGAGTCGATATTGATTGATTGACTCAATTCATTCGATGATTTTACAATTGATTGCATCATAGTTTCATTACACTTACATATGTGCATTGCTTTCGGCAGAAACGTTGCAGGACGAGCAATGGTTCGACTCGCATAGTGTCCTAAACTCCGACTGCGACGACGACTTCATCAGCATCGCCGGAGGTACTTTTCGCGCCGATGCCAAACACCTTTGTTCGAGTTTGGAGAAATGTGAATAGGAAAAAATTAAATGAAAAAAAATAAAAAATTATATAATATGATAATAATATTTTGAATAAAAAAATAATAATAAGTATTTAATTTAATATTTTTAAATAAAAAATTTGATGAATAGTAAAAATAAATTTTTTTTTCTAAACAAACACACCCTTAATTTGAAATGAATAATGTGTTGTTGCTTAATTCCAATCTAAAAATAAAACAAACAACATATTAAGAAATATATGTTTGTTGTAGTAATAAACTACTGTCTCATAACAAAGTATTCATTTTTCCATTTTAGTCTGTCCCTATTCAATTTTTTAATAACTGTACTATCTACGTTACAAATATCTTTACAATTTACAATATATTACACAAATTTCATTGTCTTTATATCACATATACTAATAAGATTATTTTAGTCATTTATATTTTATTCCTACTATATCTCAATATAATATTAATATTTCTAAAACTACGTGCAAAAAGCAAATGAACATTTATATTTTAATAACTGTCGATTTATATCTTATTTGTTGTCGGTATATACTATGTCGATATTATGCAACTACAATTAGTCATTACAACGTCCGATGTTCTTCAGACAGCGTCGCCTCTCTCGATGTCCCCACGGATTGCTCGACTAACATTAACATCTCTAGACACATTTCATGTTCCTCCAAGAGGTATTCGGACAATCCGAGAGCCGGGACAATGCTCAAGCCGTCAGTGGAAGAAATTCGAGGCCACGGCTATTGGTGCCCCGTCGCGCCTTCTGTCTTTAAGCTGCGCGGAGAAAATTATTTCCGGCAAGCATTTATTACAAGCCTTTGTTCATGTCTATCCTCGATTCGATGCATCACTAACTCATAAAACTTTTTCTTGTTTTTTTTGAACAGGGACAAAAAGAAACTCCCCGCTGCGAATTTCTCGCCATACGTACCTATAGGCATCGATTTATTTTCCTGTCCCCGGAAAATAAACCACATTGCGCAGCACGTCGAGCTTCCCTGTCTTAAATCGCACCCGGAAGTTCCCTCGTTGCTGATCATCAATATTCAGGTACGATGTTTAATGTCTGCGCCACTTATTGATGATGTTTGATGACTTTGAGGTATGATCGAGAAAACTTTCCTGTCTGTATCTTTAGCTTCCGGCTTATCCAGCTTCGATGTTCCCCGGGAACAATGACGGCGAAGGTATGAGCCTTGTGGTGTATTTTAAGGTATCGGATGATTTTGACCAAGTTATTTCTCCGGCGTTTTTGGACACTCTGAAGGTAATATTCAGACAAAGGGATGCTACATTGGTTGTTTCTGATGGCTTTCTTACAGTTTCTGTTCATGTTTTTTTCGTCGGCTGCAGAGGTTTACGGAGAATGAGATGGAAACCACGAAAGTGTTCGGAAGGGAGACTGTGGTTGCTTACAGGGAGAGGCTGAAAATTATGGTTAATCCGGTGAATCCCGACGAGCTTGGATTGAGCTCTGCCGAAAAAAAGCTCGTGCAGGCGTACAAGGATAAGCCGGTGCTGTCGCGGCCGCAACATGCTTTTTTTAAGGTATATTTTGCGCGCCAACGGATCATCTTTTTCGATTATCATTGTCTTAACTCGCTGAAAGAATATACTACCTCCATCCGACTCTAAAAGTTTCGTTTATTTTTTACGTATTAATATTTGAATATTAATTATTATATCAAAACGTAGTAAAAAATAAGAAAAAATTACAAAATATTTTCATTAGTATCTTATAATACTAATAGAAAGATATTTGTACAAAAAATTATACAAATATAATGATATTTTTAATATTAGGTACAATGAAACAAAAAGGTAAATGTAACCCTTAAAGACGAACGAAAGAAGTATAATATGTGGTTTTATGCGTTAGTTTAACTTTTTAAAAATGTACTATTGACTTAAATTTTTAGGTACAACGATAATTTAATTTAACATAACTAAGCATTTCATCGAAAAGTTTTGCTGGCTTTCAGGGGTCGAATTACTTTGAGATCGATCTTGACGTGCATCGGTTTAGCTATATATCAAGGAAAGGATTCGAAGCACTACGGGGACGGCTCAAACAAGGGATACTTGATCTTGGATTGACTATTCAGGTAACGATTGCTCGGTTATAAAACATAATATTTTCTTATCACGATATTAAATGACAATTTTACCTAAAAACTTAAAAACGAATAATTAATTAACTATTATATATATAGTCTTACAACGCATAGTAAGTGATTTTTATTTTTATTTTTATTTTTCGGACAACTGCTGCAGGCTCAGAGTCCCGAGGAGCTACCGGAGAAAGTTTTGTGTTGCGTGAGATTGCTCGGGATCGATTTTGTGAACGTAGGTGAAATTCCAGCACTTGTCACGACTCCGGGTGGTGATGAATGAATAGTTTTATATCTATCGAGTTGAGTAAGTTTGATTCGACTTCGAGATTGTGTTGTTTTTTCGAAAACAACTAATAATATGAGAAGTTGATTGTAAGAAAAAAACAAGGTTACTCGTCTAAGATGTATCCCCATCTTTGTGCTAAATAACATCATTCTTTAATCTCATCTCAATTCTATAGCATCAGACATTCATTATTCTACTTACATGCATATATGCTCAATACATAATAAATAAACAAATAGTAATATATAAATTATATTAATATAGTACAAATGTAATGCAAAGTAACTGTATATGCATGTTACAATAGTTCACGTATATTATCATTGATCTTAGCATATATTGCATGTCAGCGTAGCACAAACATACAATACATCGTTTAGGTTAATACATTTGTCATTAATCAAAGGGTTATATTTTATTAGTTAGTGAGAGTGTACAATTATTTATTTGATATTTTAAAAATGAGATATACAAAAGTAATATAAAAATTATTTTGAATTGAAAAAAATAATAAAAAAAAGGTATAATAACGTAACATATGAACACAAAGCTTTTTATACTCCCTCCGTCTCATATCTATATATTAATTTGTTTTTTGCATAGAATTTTAAAAATATTAATATTATATTGGGATAAACTAAAAATAAAAGTAAAAAGACTAAATTAATTCTATTAGTATTGTATGATATAAAGGTAATAACATTTGTGTAATATATTATAAATTGGAAGGGTATTTGTAATGTTAGGTAGATAGTAAAATTACTTATAAAAAAAAATGAAAAAAATAGATAAATACTTAGATTGTTCTATGCGTTTCTTTCATTAAATAATTTGTTTATTTGGGCTTAGCCCAGTAAAATTGTACGGATGGGCCCAATAAGGTAGGCCCAGTTATTTTAGAGTCGTGGCATCGTAACCACGTTTTTATGGAATTTCATAAAACGGGCGAGGGGACAAAAGGCGTGGGGATTTTGGAACTCCGGGAGCTTTTTATTCTGATAATGGTGGAGTGTAGATTAGACTAAAATATTCTTCCGGTGGAGCTCTGCAGTGGTACTGGTGGCTGGCGATTGGATCGTGTTGGAGGTCAATGGATCAATATAAGCAATCGGATGCGACCGCCGCTGCCTCCGTCGATGTGTTACCTACCCGGCCGCTCCGTTGCATCGTCAAGCTCGGTGAGGGCGTATTGTTGTTGAACTTGTTGTGTGTCTTCTCGATTTGGTCAGTTCAGTTTTATACATTAAAATAGTATATCTGCCGAGCCTCTCAGTGCGTGGATATGGCTGCTGAACTTCAGCTGTTTTTCGCTGGCCTTTTTAAGCTGTTACGTGGTTGTGTTCTTCTCCGTGGAGTTTTGGAGTTGTTTGAATTCTGCGATTGAAATCTGTCATTCGAGTGGCTCTAAACTGCCTTGAGAGGAAGCTGAAAATTCCGCAAATTGTGATATAGCATTGTTAATTAAGAGTGTGGATTTAAATTACGGCTACGTTTTGTTTTGTGATTTTAGGAGAATGATTGAAAATCTCTCCTTTTGTTTTTGCTTCTTTGGCTGCAAACTAACTATTAATTTTTTGAATAAGGATGGTTTGTTTGGATGTGTTCTTAAAAATGAGACCAAGAAAAAGGAGGATTTTCTACACGGGGGAAATTAAACATTTTCATTTTGTGCTTTACCATGAAGAGAAGGGAAAATCAAAGAAAAACAGAAGATTGGTTATCTTTCTGATGGATCATTCAGGCTGTGTATTTGTTTCTGGAATGCAGGTGGCGCTGCAATTACATGTAAAAATGAGTTAGAGACAATTAATGAGGACAACCTTAATGTAGTTTCATCACAGTTAAGGGAAGCAATGATTAGGGGAAGTTGCCATGGAATGGATTGGAGCAGAAAGCCTGGATCTTCAGACACCCCATCTGTTCCCGATAATTTTGATGATCAGTTATCGTCGGACTCCAAAAATTTTATAGTCGTTCATGGTGCAGGTTGACATTTAATTTCTTTTCCTTTACTCTTGAGTTTTTTCCTTCTCTTTGGATAGTGATGATCAATATTGAATGTATTGTGTTAGTTTATTGAAAGTAAAACACTATCGATACTGATTTCACCAATATCTAATAGTATTGGGATTCCTCAATTTTCTGTATTAATAGTCCCTTTTGGAGCAATTTTTCTCTTTTTTTTGGTTTTTGATCAGAAAAAAGCCATATCAAAGAATGAAAGTTATATATGTGATCCCCAGCAATGTTCAGAACCTATATGACTAATGATGATTGTCTTCAGGTTCTTTTGGCCATTTCCAAGCCAGCAAGTCGGGGGTCCATAAGGGTGGTTTGAGCCGACCTCTTGTCAAGGCTGGTTTTGTCGCTACACGAATATCTGTAAGAACTAAACGAAGCTTTCATTCAACCGCCCATGTTTATGCTTATCATTTTGAGCATCTACTTTGAAAAACCATTTTCTGCCTACTGTTACATGTTTTGTTTCAGCATTCCTCTAATTTGGTAGGATCATATAAGACCTTATCATATTGATGTGTTCTTAGGTTCTTAAGAAACAATTTGCTATGTTAATTTTACCTTATGACAACTTTAAGATTTATGCCAGTTTTACTGTAGAGTCATGAGTTGCTGCTTGTTTTTACTCGGCACGGAGCACATATTATAGGCATGACGTCTTATTTACAGTGGTATTTATCGTAAGTTAGTTCCATTTTTTATTTCAGGTTACATCCCTTAATCTTGAAATTGTCAGGGCACTAGCAAAAGGTATGAACTATTACATATTATATATCTATTTTGATTACAAGGCCTCTAAATTTTGCTGATATTGTTTTAATATCGTCTTCATACAGAAGGCATTCCTTCTATTGGAATGTCTCCATTTTCATGTGGCTGGTCGACTTGTGAAAGAAATGTTAGAAGTCTTCCAGAGTACTAGTATTCATTTATGAAAAATACCTCATCTATTCAGCGTTGTCTGCTTCTGAAAAGTGGCTGTCTTAACCTTACAGCTATCTGAGGCAGATATATCGACTGTGATTAAAGCTCTTGACGCCGGTTTTGTACCGGTGAGTTTAAATCATCGACTCATGTAAAGATGAAAAGTGTATACAGTTGTTTTCGATTTCAAACCATTTTAGTTTGTTTTCTTATTCAGGTTCTACACGGAGATGCCGTGCTGGATCGTTCACAGGTACATACGCCATTCTTTTATTTAAAAAGATCCCATTATTTTACATTGCTGTATTTGTACACTTCTTTCGTTGGCATCTTCATCAGGGCTGTACCATATTAAGTGGAGACGTAATCATTCGTCTTCTGGCAGAACAAATGTGCCCCGACTATGTTGTTTTTCTTGTATCCTCCTCGACCTTCCGATTAATTTGCAAAGCTTTCAAATAAGAACATACTTGTTTCTTCTTTACACTGCTTCCACTAATAGACTGATGTTTTCGGGGTATATGACCGTCCACCATCCGATCCCGACGCCATACTTCTTAGGGAAATAGGTAAGTTTCTGATCGCCGAGCTTCTCAACGACTTAAAATCATATTCGCTGATTCAGCGACAATATGCAGCTGTGCACGACGACGGCAGCTGGTCTGTGCTGAAACCACAATTACTCGACGCAACCCGGCAAGGTTAGTATATAAGTAAATCTTGGATTCTGTAGTTGCATATTTCTTCACATATGAACAAATTCGAACTCTAGTTTGCAATTTGGGTGTTGTTTTGACTTTTTACGATGAAAAATAGCAATTTGATGTGATGTTTTTATACTTAGAGACTTTCGATGTCTGAACTATTTCCTACAGTCGAGATTACTGTGGCGTCGCACGACACAACTGGCGGAATGATCACCAAGATTACAGAAGCAGCCATGATTGCTAAACTGGGAATTGATGTCTACATTGTAAAGGTAGTTTTCGATTTTTGAAGTTGCTGATTTTTCCGGCGACGGATATGCTTATCGCTGTGACAATGCAGGCAGCGACAGAGCACTCGGCGCGGGCCCTGAAAGGGCAGCTGAGAGAAAACATGGCGGAGGATTGGCTCGGAACAGTCATCCGCCTTGTCAAATAGAGCCACTGGCTGCTCTTTGTGTTCTCAATCTTGTTTTTGTATTTTACTTAATTTACATGGAAAAATTTTAAAAATTTAAAAGGGATAGCCAACTGGGTCTATGAATCTGTTTCGAAAAATACAATTTTCATTAATAGATTGATTTTGTTTCACTGTGATTTGAGTGAGATAGTAAAGAATTAAACATTTGCTTAGGCATTGCCAATTTAACAATTGTGATATCTTATACTTGGGGAACTTAGCCAAAATACTATTCTAATTATACTCCCTTCTTCATGATTCTTTTTTTTGTCTTATAAAAGATTACCTCCTCCTATTTTAATTAAATTTCTAATAGGATAATCGAAATCTCCTCCTTTTTTTTATCTTTTTTTTTTCAATAAAAAATATTTTTATCTATATTTAAAGCTTATTATTTTTTATAAAATTAATTTTAAATTAATTATAAATACATTAATATACTTTTTATTAATGTATTATGAAGTATAAAAGTAATCATACATATTCGTATGAGATATAATGATAATAATATTTAAAATTTCAACATTACTCGTATTTTAATTTATTACTAAAAAATTCCTAATCTACCCTAAATAGCCCAAATGGAGGGACTATTCGCTAGTTTGTGATATTCTAATACAAAAACGAAATTAAAGATTTATAACCCAGGTGCTTAAATAAGCCTAGTAAAAAATAAATCGAAAACCCTAACTTCCCACTAATAAACAAGAAAAGAAAGTGGACTAAATCTGTTAATGCCAGAAGACTATTTCATAAGCCTAATTAGTGACTTAAAATTAATCCAATAGGTCATAGAAGTGACTTAAAGGATCAAACAAATTCTTCGACACAATTTTCCTACACACTATTATATCATTAACCAGAGGAGATTCACCTGCCCCAAAGGAAATCCAAAACCAAGATTAAATGAAAGAAATCAGTAGGCACATTACAACCTCAGTCTCAAATCTTTTACCAGCAAAACTAATAAAAGAGTATATATAAGATATCGATAGTGAAGGGCCAAAAGGCATCACCAAGAAATCCTTAATATATATGATGGCCAATGGCCCTCCAATCATTCCCTTATATGTGATAATATCACACACCAATCTCATAAGAAAATGCAAAACTTAATTAAAACCACACAATCCCAACATGTAAAGGAAAAAAGGAAACAAACTACTTGGGGCCAATGTCTTTGAGGGCACAGATCTGCTCTTCTCCCATGGCAGACATAACACTGACAACAAGGTCCTTTCCCTCAGCAAACCCATCCTTAATCTGTAAATAATCACCGAAAAATATCACATCTCTATCCAGATTTCAGAACACAAGGATGCCATTTGGGAAGAATATCTATCTACTGGATAATATTTATAAAAAGTGTAGGAAAATTGAAGTAAAATATTGGAACGTATATGTTGAAGATGTTTAACCTGAGCAAGTAGATTCTCGTCGGTTGGGAGCCTCAGATCATCTTTAGTGTTCCCATTATCAGTAAGCAGGCTCACCTGTAACATTATTTTAAAGATAATTATAAACTGAGAACCACAGTGCAACCGACAATAAAATGAAGATGCTTACAAATCCATCCTCAGAGATGTCGATGAGCTGGTAATCAGTACGATTGACGTGGGGCACCTGAATTGCATATAAAAGAATTTCAGTAACAGTGAAACTGAAACTAAATAACTAATGCAACTATCATAAAAAATTAAGGCCTAGTGTTCATACATCACAGTTATGGGAAGATGGGACAATATCTTCGAGCTTCTTCCCAGTGAAGATGTCAATTGCAACAAAGTGGCACTTAGCATGCCCGTGCTTTCCAGTTTTGGAAGTTGAAACTTCCACAACCTACAACACAATACAGCCATGGTGAGGAATCCGACAAGTTTGCAGCAAAACATATTATTTTCTTATCGAATCTGCAACCAAGGATCCACAAATAACAGTGGTTGTACATAAATCTTTACAAGGAATTGCAATTCGAAAGTAATACTTAAAAGCCGCCTCCAACAGACTCCTTATCGGGTTTGGTTTGGATCAACACTCCAAATATGGAGGGATGAACAGTAAGCCTCCAAATTCATCCCTCCAAATGGAATAAAATTTGAAAGGAGTTAGTGTAATCGCTTCAAAATAAGTTAAACGAAAGAATACTTATGGAATATCCTTAAGTAAGTCGAGTGAGTTTAAAATTTAGAGTAAATTTTGGAGACAATGGATGAATTGGTTGGAGATGGTCTAAGAACACTAAATCAGAACAACGCACGGAGGTAAACAACATATACTTCAATCGACTATCAAAAAAAAAAAAAAAAGAATTTCGAAACGTATTGCAGGAAATAACAATCCGAATAAACACCAAAGAATCCTATAAATTCGGTTAAATTATACAGAAGAAAGCTTCCAATTGCAAACAGCATAAAAAACATTCAGATCTCACAGATATTCACGCACACATATGAAATTGACATCAAATTCACCAACTAAATCGCAGTGAAAACAAAGGAATCTAAAATAATATATGCTTGTACAATCATCGGCAAAAACAAAATCAGGAAGAAAAGCAGAAAATCAAAATCAAACCTTGCAGGGACGGCCTTTAATGACAATGTAACCATTCTTACGAATAGTCCCGGCCTGCTGCGGGAACGTCTTGGACGCGCCAGCGTCAGCCTTTGATTCGAAGTGATGTTCCTCGTCCGACATCTCAGCAGCGATCTAGATAGAAATAGCAATCTACGAGCTTGAGAGCAGCGGGGAACAATGGCGAGGGATTTAGAACTCGTCTGCTGGATTGTTTTATAGACTTAGAATTGGACGGAGAAGGAGATTTTAGGGTTTTCAAATAAGGGGACTCTTTCCTAGCCGTTGATTGGAAGGATTTTAGAGATGGACGGATAAGATTTGCCTAAAAAAGCATGCTTGGTTGCTTCAAAACGACGCAGTGTTGAGTAATTGGTTTATATTTGGATATATCAATTTTGTTGTTTTTGTTTGACTTATAATATTCGTGTGTCACGATAATATGCCATGTCATCAATGATTTACTATAGATTTATAATTATATTAGCAGGATTATAACAAAAACAAGAAATAAATGTTAGGGTTTATTTGCCCAAGTTTTTGTTTACTAATTTTCAATATATATTATCTTTTCATAATGATTTAACATTCAAACATATTTAGGTTTAGATTTGTTAATTATTATTGAGTTTGTTTTATAGTGCTTATACATATATATATATTTTATGGTGTATATATATATATAAATGTTAATAATACAATTTTTGTAAATTATATTTTAACATGATATTGGATACATAGTGAATATTGATCATATTTGAATTTTCAAATTATCATCTTGAAGTCAAAGTGTTAAATATATTTAACACACTGAAAATACATATGAAAATTCTTGGCCGTTATGAGCGAAGCTATAAGTACTCAATTTGTCCTATCTATTTTGCAATATTTTTTATTTTATTAGTCTCATATACTCTACAATATTTTTAAAATAAAAAGTAAATAATAAATCAATTAACCTATTACTATATATATTTTTATTATAGTGTCCTGAAATTAAAATTAATTATGGTACAATTGCTTGTATATATATAGTGAATGATGTTGATTGTCCTCAAGCAGCATCAAACGGCAACCACATATACAGATATAGTTTAACACCACCACCAAAAGCAATATCAACGCCAGTAGTATATTAAAGCATCTTACAATACAAAAATGATCAGATCAAAAAATTCATTAATTTAACATAAACAAAGAACAAATCCCTAATTTTCACTCTAATCCAACATATGGCAGACTTGAACACATAATGATATTAACACAGGATTTTGAATTTCCAGACACAAATCCATGTCTACTCCACATGTTTCATCAAATGGCTGGATGGAATTCACACAATATGTTCACTAACCTCACAGGCAAATTCGCGGAGGGAAAATAAGTCGATAATTTCCTCGACAACAATGGTTGTTTATCCTAAACCCATCTTGATTTTATAGGGAAGTCACAAATATTTGAGGCAGATCTTCTCTGTCACATAAGAAATTCAAGTGTTGGTTCAGTTCAGAATGATGGTTTCCAAGTTCTGATTATAGGATTTGTGGCTTTATAATCTTTAAGGAAACACAAATTGATTGCTACTAACCTTTCGTTTGCCTCTTGGTATGTATAACTTGACGCGGCTGCCAAAAGTTGTCCATCATGGTTGTATGTCAACGATGTGACGCTGTTGGGAAATCTATGCAGCTGGAAAGTGAAAAGGTTTTTTTATGGACATGGATTGAAGTCCTTATTGCTTATTTTTGGGAAGAGTATAATGTAAATAGCTTGAAAAATAATTTAAGATAGGAGAACAGAGTTGATGCATGATGATCCATTGCATAATGAGGGAAATCGTAAATGTTAGTTGTACCTCGGCTAGGCGGTTCTGTTTTAAAACATCCCACATCACCGCATTGCCTTCATTGTCACCAGTAACAAGTTCACCCCGCTTGCTGGAGGGGGGAAGAGATATTACGAGGCTATTTTAAAGTTCCATGGTGATGAGATAAAGTGAAAACGATACGTACTATGGATTAAATGCAATGTCATTCACAGCAACCATATGAGATCTTCCACTCTTACTCTTTGGATGGCATTTGAAAGCGTATCTGCAAAAGTTCAAGCTTGAGTGAAAGCTATCTTTCGAAGAAACACACAGTACTACAAAGTTCAATAACTGCATTTGCTTGAACAAATAATGTATGATGTTGAGTAGCATTCTCCGCAAGAGAAAGGTCTTAATGCATGCCAGGTGCTAAGAAACAATACAAGATTAGGGGATAATTCAAATTTGTGTAGAACTATATCGTCTTAATCAATGACTTCAAATATAAAAAGCACGCTCATAAAGACTACAGTGGACATATTTAAACTGACCCCTTATTCTTTGTGTTTGACTCTCCAAAAAATTCCAATGCAACCCGCCCATCATTTGATCCGGCCACAAATCCTGCATGAACAGGAATCATCTATAGTCAGATCAAAATTTACAACAAAGGAGGACATAAATTTTGATTTGATAAAAGATTGAAACTGTAGGTGAAATTTCCGGCATTCCATCACAAAATGGTAGATATAAATAAAAAAGTTGTGTAAGAAATAAGTGAGCAAGAACATACTTAAAGTTCACAAATCCCCAACAAGGTTATTTTTATTGCAATACCTTCTAAATCTGGACTTGCACGAACACATTTTATTAGAATGCCCTTGAAGAGTTCTTTAGCTTGAACTGATTTGTCTAAGTATCGCAAATCATACATATTCAATGATGATTTTATAGCAGCCACCAAACTAAATCCAGAAAGTGACAATGATTCAACCTTTTCAGAAAGATTGTCCAAGCATCCAACAGAACCGGCAGAGCGAGCATCCCAAAATTTTATTTTTTTATCCCAAGCGCCAGTTACAATTTGGCCTGTAGATAGAGTCCAAAACAAGGAAAAAGAAGAAGAAAAGAAGCTAATCAATAATTTTTTTTTAAAATTTGAAACATTTGTCCCTAGAAAACCATCATTTTCAATATAGTTTATTCTACTAAAATTAGAGCAACAACAGTAAAAAGAGAGAATTGCCTCACGCCCACAACCAATGGCAGACTCCTTAATTGCAACACCTCAAAGTATTTCGGTATAATAATTGCTTAACATGATTATATGCAAAAACTCAAAATGATTCAAACTCTTTTCTACTAATCACTGAAACTGTGACAAGAAAACGTTCCTTCTTAACCAAAGTAGGACTAAATATTTAACAATCCATAATGTATCAATAGAATAATAATTTTTAAAAATTCCATTATGTACATTATGGCCAAATAATTGCATTTGCAAATTGCACATAACAAAGTAATCCAGAAGTATAGAAAATACAAATATATGCAATAGCTATTGAAGTATAAAAATTCTCAATACTTAAACATAATAATAAAAATCGTATAAAGTGAAAACTAATAATATAAATACAAATCATACACACTATAACATTAAATATGCATATGCTGTCCTAAAACTCAAGTCACCAAGGCAGCAATAGAAAGACAGCTGCGGGATGAAGAAAAACTACAAGTCATGAGCACACCTAAAATAGTTTGAACCTATCCAATATACATATATTATATATATTATATTAATATTGAAAGTAATACGATAGAAGACAAAAATGTGTGGAGATATTATTTTATTTTATTTTTAACATGTTTGAGTCAAGATGCTAGGAAGAATTTCCTCATTATGGAACATGTGGCTCACGCTATAGCATGCAGGTGAGTGGGGCAGAAGCATTTAATGGGCATGCACCTCATTGAAGGCACATCATGCCCTGGAAAATGGCACCAAGTCTGTGTGTACACCACTGACACGACAACAATGCAGCATATCTACAACAGATGGGATAGCAAGAATTTTGGGAGAAAAAAAGTGGTATTGCAGGCAAGAAATAACTCATGCAGGTGTGCGAAGAAACAAAAGTTATAAATCTTACTTGTTTCCACAGAATATTCAACACAGGTCGCTAAATCATCATGAATTCCTATTGCTTTGCTCTCTCCCAGATGCATATCATACCTAGGAAAGTTTACTCAAGTGTCACTAAATAAAATACATTTATCACTAAACATAACTGAATATGCTGTGGGTGGATATGTTGTTAATGAGCTACGTGGTTAGCTTTAGCAGTGATTCATGCTCTGCCCATCAAACAAAGAGCCTCAGTTGAAAGTACAGTTGTTCGACGAACAAAGCAGTTTGAAAGGTAGTTTGTTTCCACTTCTTTAAGAAGGGATCCGAGCTTCCAATCTAAAACCAATTGATGATAAGTGAAGTGGCCTTCACCCTTATAAAGTAGGGGAGTTTCCACATATTTACCAATTCAACACTCCCATCGAGATGATAATCTCGAAAATTCATACAAAATCCAAACTCAATACGGGTACCATGGCTCCGATACCATGCTAAGAAGGGATGCGGACTTCTAACCTAAAACCAATTGGTGATAGGTGGAGTGATCTTCGCCCTATATAGTAGGGGAGTTCCCACCCACGTAACGTATTTACCAATGTGTGGGACAATATTCAACACACTTCAACACACTTGCTAACCAAAGCATTCACCAAACAAATGATATATTTGAAAACAAGAACTTAAAAAATAAGAAATTAAATTGTAATAATTAAATAAATATCTATCCACATAGAAAGACACAAACAGACAATCAAAATCCTCTTCTCATTTTTTATCCAAATACCGAAACTCAGCTTATTCCTTTGTACATTAGCAGAAGAAAACATATCCATTTGACAGAGCAGCAAGTCCAAAACAAAGAAATGATCCTTACACAGTCGCTCTTCTCCTTCAAGCGCATCTGTGTGGCAAAGTATAAACTCCTGCTATCACATTATCATCAGTGTCGTCACTTAGGGTTCAAGGCTCCTAATATTGCCTGTTTATGATTCTTACACTGTTTTCTAACCTTTTTTTACCATGATAATTGAGTACATATCTGCAATTACAACAGGCACAATGCAACCGAAACCTAAATACGAATCACAGTGTCCAAAAAGAGACAAAATCGTTCACCAACGTTATTATAAATTAAAAAATAATAATAATTACCATTGCAACACAACAAAACATCAGTTCAAGGTATCAGTTTACCTGGTAATAGAACCGTCGGAATTAGCACTAATAGCCATCGACTCACTTCCGAAACAGCAATCAAGGAGCGCCGCTCCACCACTAGGAGCTTCTAACCTCAGCTCTGATTTATCCACATCGTAAAGTCGAAGATTCTGCACAATAAGACAATGCATACGCTCTCAACGTCACTTCACACAGAAAGTACGAAGCACAAAGTGAATCCACAGCATAACTCACAGAACCACTTACAGAATCCCAAGAAGAAATTAAAAGATTGTTCGACCGGGAAGCAAATCGGATCCTGGAAATAGCGTCCTGGATCGGCTTATCGAAATTCAAACAAGACCTCTCCATGCTGCAAATGAATCACAAGCAAAATCCAAGCAATGAAATGGAAGGGAAAATTTTGAAATTTGAATCCAAAACAACCGTACGATTTTTACACTGAAATTTCCTCCTTAAAGAGTGTGTTTGTTTTGAGTTTTGGATTTTAAATTTTTTAATAGGAATAATGGTACGATGTGACGTGAATATGCGTTAGATATAATTTTAAATTGTAAAATTAATTTTTAATATAATATTAAAAATAAAAAAAAATAAATATTTAATATAATATTTTTGAAAAAAAATTAGATTAAGCAGTGAAATTTAAAATTTAATCTCCAAATAAACAAAGAGTATTTGGGTCATCATAATAATATGGGCCAAAAAATTTTATTAGCCCATGAAGCCTAAAAGTTACGTCAAAATAAAAATTGGACCGGCCCATTATTATGTACAAGTGTCTTCAGTTAATTCAACCAATCAAACAATGCCACGTAAGCCGATCCACCTCATCCTCCTGGCGAAATGGTAAAAAAGTTCATTCCTTGAAATCTGCTCAATTTTCACGCAACGGATTTCTTATTCCGCGAATTTCGGGGGTGATTCCATTCGACGGTAAGACTGTGGAAAGTTTTTCGCCTCTGTAATGTGATGATATGTTTTTTGCTCAAGTGTGTTAATCTGAAATTGGTGCGGGTAGGTTATTAAATATTTGAATGTGATTTTTGCTCGATGAGATTATTCAGTATACTCAATTTGTTGTGATGCTTTTCGAAGATTATGATCAGGCGTTGCTAACGATACTGGATTGTAGTTACTCTAAATGATATAGCGGAAGAAAATTGTTGAAAAGAAATCATGTGATTGTGTGATTGTGTGCACCTGTTGGTTACAAGCATCGCTTTTTGTTACTTCTTCGAGCTTTTATTGATCTTGAAGACTTTTTTTTCCTTTAGGGAATTGATCGAATAAAAACAGTTTAATTCTTTGTATCTTATGCGTGTCTAGAGTTAATTGATTGAAATTGATGGATAGGGATGAAGCTGCGGACGTATGCAGGGCTTAGTTTACTGGGTTCGGTGGCTGCCATCTATCATGCCTTTAAGAGCATGGGCCAGTTTTACCCGGCAATGGTTTACTTGTCGACTTCCAAGATCAACTCTGTGCTCATGTGGAATATGGGTCTGGTTATGATGAGCCTTTTGTGGCAATTGACTAAGACCATATTCCTTGGCTCACTGCAAGAAGCAGAGGTGGAAAGGCTGCACGAGCAATTGTGGGCTGAAATCATGGAAATATTGTTTGCTATCACTGTTTTCAGACAAGATTTTTCGATAGCATTTCTTGCAATGATCACGGCACTGCTGATGATAAAGTCTTTGAATTGGTTGGCCCAAAAGAGAGTTGAATACATAGAAACCACTCCATCTCTTTCTAGGCTGTCTCATATCCGGATTGCATCATTTCTGGTGTTCCTCCTCCTTATTGACAGTATTTTTCTGTACAATTCAGTCAAGATTTTGTTAGAAACCAGGCAGGCATCGGTTTCTCTCTTCTTTTCATTCGAGTAAGTTTCTTGCATTACTTGTTTATGTTATTTATTCATTAGTATATTTATGGAATACCGTTTGAATTAGCTATGTTATATTCTAGTGTTGAAGTCTTTATCCAGACACTGTTGCCGGTGAATGTTATTTTCTTTCAGGTACATGGTATTGGCCTTGACAACTATATCAACAACCGTAAAGTACATTTTCTATATCAGTGATATGCTCATGCAAGGACAATGGGAAAAGAAGGCCGTCTGCACATTTTATTTGGACCTTATTCGGGATTTGCTCCACTTGACTTTGTGCATGTGTTTCTTCCTGGTCATTTTTATGTAAGCAATCTTTTGCACACTTGCATATACAATTTTCACTATACTTCCTTTGCCTTTGTTCATATTTGTTTAAGTTTCTGTCAGTATTCTTGCTTCTAACATATATTTCTATTTTCATTTCAAATATCACAATGTACTCTTCTTTTTCTTTTCAAATGTTTTGATGTATTCCATTGTGTGAAAACTAGGAACTTTGGCGTGCCCCTTCACCTGATCCGGGAGTTGTATGACACATTCCGTAAGTTTAAAACTCGCGTAGCTGATTATGTACGATATAGGAAGATCACTTCCAATATGAATAGTCGATTCCCAGATGCAACTGCTGAAGAACTTGATGCGTAAGCTATTACTGTTGGGTGAAAACTATTAGTTTTCCTTTTGTTCTTGCAGCCATCATTTAAGATTTATATTCACGTCTGGTTCCATCTTGCAGAAGTGATTCAACCTGCATTATATGTCGTGAGGAGATGACTGCAGCTAAAAGACTTATTTGCGGCCATCTTTTTCACGTCAACTGCCTAAGGTCGTGGTTGGAGAGGCAAAACACATGTCCCACATGCCGAGCACCTATTGTACCACCTCAAGATGGGGCGACAACCCGTACTGCAGCACCGGCTCATGGTCAACAGCAAGGTACTCTGTTTCTTGCATGTAAATACATAATTCAACGACATAAACCATCACTAAAGGAACATAGACATTTATTATACATGCATATTGTATGCCGTCCATTTTCTTTCTATAAGACAATCAGATAGAAACAAAAGTTAGACACCCACAGCTCACTTTGCTACAGAAAATTTAGGACTAATCTGAAAAAAGGAGGACAAAGGAAGGGTTTATGAACTACCTACTGTGATTTCAATTGTTTCATGCTTTCAGTTAGTAACAGTTTATGAACTTCTGTTGTGTTTTACCCTGAATCTTGTACCGAGCATGTTATAAAGACAGTGAAAGTCAACTTGACTGATTAACTTTCTTCAAAATAGGTGGTTGTTTTGTCTAGCTGATCACTAAATTCTCTAACAAGTTTAGCGGGTTACAGGAGCAAGAACCGGAATCACATCTTCTCAAGGATCTAATGCTGTCGGCGCAGCAAATAGTGTTGTCAGTCAGCATCAAGCTAGACTTCAAGCTGCAGCATCTGCTGCGATGCTATATGAGAAGTCTTTCGTGTATCCTTCAATGAATACTATGATGAGGTATGTTCTTATTCAAAGCATTCTTTAGAGATTGTCCATTGATTTGCACATTGGGTCTGACATTATTGTAATTTTACAGGTCTCTGGAATTCGCCTTACCTCCAAAATCGGATAGCCACTCTGCTGACACCATTGGCGAAAAAGACGGCGCAGGAGGAGATTCAAGTGGACTGTCACAGCAAACACAGTTTGGAAACTCGATGTTTCCTCAGTCACAGCATTCTTTCATCTCTTTACAGTCCCAATTTATCGATGGCCAATTGGATTTACAGAGAAAGCTGATTAACAACCAGATTGAGGTATACTTCCATACGAGTAGAAAATTTAACATTATTCCTCCTAGTCCTATGTTATTGTTATTACTCATTCTTTTCGGCGCTTGTTTTCCCCGGGCAGTTCCTGCAAAGACAAATGCAGCTTCTACAGACGTGCGTAAGGGATCAAAAATCTTCCGATGCCAAGGTCAAGTCAGTGCCATCTCCATCTTCATCTTCCACCATTTCTACTGAAACTTAGAAGGTAATAACTTCATATATACATCTTATCGAGTAGCTTAGAAACAGCTCTTCGACGACCCGAGTTTTGCTTGATTCAATGTAACTAACTGTTAACTATCCATCCTTGTAGATATATGACAAAAACAAACACATCTTAGCTCTGCTACATGATCAAGAACTTAGTATTTATGAAGTTGTATGTTGATCAGCAAATTATTGTGGCCCAATGGGCCTTGAGAAATGGGCTGTCTTGAATCGGGCTGGGCCCATTGGGCCACGATCTGTGGTCCCCTGATTGGACACATGATAACTACACTGGCTGTACTTGGGACAGACAGAAAGATTATGTGATTCTTTCTTGGTCCCAATTTCCCAAGGACACTTTTGAATTTGGAAATTATTACGTGGGACATTTTTGTAAGGGATTGGGATCCTTGTACTCAATAAATTTTTTAAAAATTGCGTCACAAATGAATAATCATTGTAAACCCCTTTTTAAACATTGAAAAGAAGAATTTTAAATTAGCCTATCAACTAAATTATGAAAATATAATTAAGTAATGCAGATAGATACACGCAGCAGATTCTTCTGTTTAAGAGAAGCCATGTCTGTGCAGTAATAATACCAACAACAACGTTAAAAGAAGATAAAAATAGGGATAGTACAATCGCGGCAGCACGAGGTACTACTAATCATATCACATCGCACCACTCCCTGTCGTGCGCTATACATGCAACACGTGTCCCTTGGTTTCGTCCCGGGCCCACGCGGACAGTTCGGTCCGAACAGTATAGATTCGCGGATGACGTCACCCCGTATTATTTATTATTAATGCTAATATATTTAGTTAAATGCATAATTATATAAACAAAAAATTATTTTTCTAATTAAGTAATAGTTTTATATATGTGTGTATTGTAAATTATTAAATAATAAAAGAATAATTTTGGTGCATCTCTTTCCAAATCAATAGTAGCGACAAAATGATGTTTTTTTTTAAATTATTATACATTTATATAAATAAATAAATAAACAAAAGATAATTGAATTCAATAATTTCTATGTAAATGATGTTTCTTTTATGTTTGGATTAAGTTTGAAAATTTTTAAATTTTTTATTGATGTTTTGTGATAGATGTTTGTTTTAACATTAAAGCTAAATAATAAAAAGATTATGGGGTGTTTGGCAAATAGCTTTTTTAAGAGCCTTTAGCTTATTGAACAACAGCTTTTAGCTATTTGACCAGTCAAAATATTAATTTAGATATTTGGTAAATTAGCTTTTTGGAATAGCTTTTTGACACAAAAACCTAATTTCTGAAAAGCTAACTTACCCAACATTTTGAAATAATTTTTTCCGTAAAAAAAAAATAATAATAATAAATAAATAAATTATTCCTGATATACCCTTAAAAATTTAATATACATTTTATACAAATAAATATATTTTGATTATTTATTAATTATATTAGAATATTCTATTATATTATAGTTTTACTTTTATAAATTTAAAATAATTAATTTTTATATATAAAAATTATTTTAATTATAAAATATATAGATTTATTAAAATCAACATAAAATAAAAAATATAAATATTAATAATTTATTTTTTTATTAAAATTACATTATATAAATTTTATACTAAGAATAAATTAAATTTATTGAAAATTATAAATATAATGAACTAATCGATAACTAATAATAAATATATACACGAAAAATTTATTATTTTATATTTTACATCATTTTCAATAAAAAAAAAAAAAACTATTTATATATTTTAATAAAAATATATTATTTTTTAAATCTAATTGTAATAAAAATAAATACTTTTATAACACTTTTACAATTTTCAATAACTAATAATAAAAAAATTTTAAACATTCTAAACCCAAAAGAACATAATTGAATATATTAGAAACAAGAATAAAATAGAAATGTACTCAATTGTCATTTTACGTATAAATAGCTAATATCAAATAGTTGTTTTACCAAATATTTTAATACAAACAGCTAATCGAATCAGCTAGTCAAACCAGCTAATTGAATCAGCTAACAGCTATCAGCTAATTGAATCAGCTAATAGCTAACAACTGATTGTCAAACAGCCCTAGATATAAATCTAAAAAAACAAATATATATGTTTCTGTTATTTTTAAAATTAAAAAAAAAAAAACTATATATGTTAAATTTTGTATTTTATAATTTTATTATTTTATCTATAATTAATTAGTTATATTAATTTTAATTTTAATTTATAATTATTTATATTATACGGTAATTATTTCTATTAATTCTTTTTTTCTTTCTAAATGATGGTATCTACTTAACTCATACACCAAATTTAGATTGGAGAGAGTAAGATTTATTTTTATTAATTAATTGTATAATTAAAAAAATAATAATAACTCTATAATAAAAGAATATTCAACAGTACAACATTTGCTGATAACGAAAGGAAATTTTTGCTGATAAAATGACTTATGATATATATATATATATTTGTTAACTATTGGTTGTAATCAATTATTATTTTATTTTTGAATATTTTCAATAAATTGCTGGTTATCAATATATGTAGATATATGTGTGTTTTCTTCGTCTTCTTATTTAATTATTTATTTATTTATTTTGAAATAAAGACATGACTAAAGAAAAATCATTATCAATTACCCAATCAATTGCAGTGAGAATATGTCGATCTTTTTATTTGAATGGTTACTTTTTGCATACTAATAATATTCCATCACTTTACCTAGTATATTACTTTTATATATTGAAAAAAAAAACATTAAAAATAGCATTAGATCACTGTAATACTCGTTTTAAAAATAATAATAAAAAAAAAATCAAAAAAATGAATAAAATAATACTCCCTCCGTCCCAAACAAGATGTTACATTTAAGTTGGGCACGAGATTTTATGTGAGAAGTATTAAGTATGATAATTGAGTAATTAGGTGATGTGATGGAGAGAGGAGTGTATATATATATATATTTTATTAGGGTGATGTAATGGGATAAAGTGTAGAGATATAGATTAAGTATAATTAATTATTTTCTAATTTAAAAATATTGCAGGATCTTTAAGACATATCAAAAAAGAAATGTTAGTACAATGTTTAGGACGGAGGAAGTATTATAAACCTATCACGAAGTTTACACAGTACCATCTTACCACACATTTTTCACATGATATGATTTTCAATAAAAAAAATTTTGATATGGAAATATGAAAAGTGATCGTATTAATAATGTATTTTATATACTCCATCCGTCTTCCTCTAAGGTCATATTTATTTTTTGTGTCATTGTACTTAATATTAAAAATATTTTTATATTTGTATAATTTTTTTTTTACATATGTTCCTCTGTTAGTATTATAAGATACTGATAGAATAATTTTTACAATTTGTTGTTAATTTGTAATGTGTTTTGATATAATAATTAATATTCAAATATCAACATAAAAAAAAATAAATGAGAATCGTAGAATATGACGAAAATAATATTAATTTAATTATACGATTTTTTAGACAAAACTCACTATTTAATTTATAAATAACTAAGAAATGATATTATTTATCTCAAAATGCATTATTTACCGCTTTGAATAAGAAATTTGAACATAATTTTCAATAAAATATTTTGTACTAATTTTTTTCAAATAAAATATATTATTTTATTAATGAAATACTCCCTCGACCCGTGAATATAGTCAATATCTTGTCGGTGAACCACGTAAATCTATGTCTTCCTTACGTTTTCTTTTTTTTGTTTGCTATTCGATTATTAACCATAATCTGTCACAATATTTTTCATTTTTATCTATATTTAAAACTATAAATATTTTATAAAATTAGTTTATATTAATTATAAATTAATAAACGTATTGTATTATAAAAAAATTTATTTTTTACAAAATAATATCCATATGATATATATTTTTATTGTGATATAATTTTTGTAAAATATTTAAATACTTATTTTATTTTTTTAATTATATATATTAAATTTATTTTAAAATTACTAATATTATTAATTATATAAAAATAATAAAATATTATAATTCACTATTACTAACTAATTAAACATCATTATCTTAAATACCGTCTTAGTAATAAAAATATTCAATTCTACTAAAACAGAGGGAGTGTTAAAAAAAAAAAAAAAAATCTTTGCCAATATAATATCACAAATCCTTTAAAATACTTCTACTATTTTCAATAAATAATAACAAAAAAATATATCTTATTCCTTAAAACATTAAAAAGAACACAACTTGAATCTTAATATGGTTATATTAAATAAATATATATTAAGATTAAATTTATGGATGTGTTAACTATATATTTTTATTAATTTTATATTTTCATATTTTTTAAAATACATAATAAAAGTTGATGCATTTAGGCTTGAAAAGTGCAAGCTAATGTTCACAAGAAGTCTCCATTATAGAATATATATATTTTTTAATTTTAAAAAAAATAAAATATTTAATATAATAATTTTTAAAAATAGTTGTTTTATATAATATTTTTTTAAAAGTAAATTAATATTAATAAATAGTAACAAAATAAAAAATGTATACACATATGTGTAAACATAGTCTAAATAAATATATAAAGGGAGATAACATATAATTGACTGGTGAATAATTATAATAATAATAATAAAGAAAAAAAGATGAGTACCAACCCACAGACTCTATGAACACTTGTTTATTAATGTCTTGACAATGACAGCTGCCTTTATCCATAAAATAATAAGAAGAATAATAAAAATATTTATTATTATTATTATTATTATTATTATTATATGCTTCTTCTATTATTTTTTTTTTAAAAAAAATATTCGAGGTGTCTTAAAATTTTTATACACCTAAATACAATTTACAAACAATAGTAACAAAAAAATTACTATAAAAGTGTTTAAAAAAATACACCCTCCGTCCCATAATAAAGTATTTATTTTACCATTTTAGTACGTCCTATAACAAATATCCATTTCTTTTTTTAGTAACTGTACTATCTACCTAACATTACAAATACCCTTACAACTTACAATATATTACACAAATGTCATTACCTTTATATTACACATACTAGCAAGGTTATTTTAGCCACTTATACTTTATTCCTACTATATTTCAATATAATATTAATATTTCTAAAACTACGTACAAAAAGC